ATTCTCCAAGAGATCCATTTCTTTCACCAACTTCTCCAGGAATCTGTGCGAAGCTGGGCTGCTTATGAACCCCCCTGGGCTGCGGTCCCTTCCAGTAGCGCAGTCTCTCCTGGGGCAGGGGCAACTCCTGAAGTAGTCGGATAATGTTCGACATATCTACCATAAATCCTAGTTCTCTTGGGACCTTAGAAGTAGGCATATAATTTCCCAATTATTTCTATATATTCCCATGATTTCGTCCCATGAATCAAGAAAATTCCCATGACATTCCCATTTTATCCCCACTAAACAGGGGTTAAAATATGTTAAAATGGGTTAAATCACACTAAAATCACCATTTTTGCTGGCGAAATCGGTGAGTCATCACCATTTACTAAGGCACCTGGCGCCCATCTCCCACCTGACAACTGGAGGATGGTGTTGCCATCCTCGGCATTGCGGCGCATTGCGGCGCATTGCGCAGGCTGCGGCGCAGCTGTGGGCCATTTTCCCGTTTTCTCAGAGCAAATGGTGAATATGTGGCCTTTAAGAAGTTATATCATATATATATACACCCTGTGGATAATCAACATTAACTAATGATGATAACAGTCACCATTTTTATTTTTGATCATTTATAATGCCATGATAATACTAATGATTATAACCAATGGTATTTATATATATAGCATGTCTTAAGTCATGGGGAATTGTCCCTTATAAACCATCCATTTTGGGGATCCCCCATTTATGAAAACCTCCATATATATATACTGTATATCTGTATAACAATTTTCACAAATTGGGCCAACTTAAAGCAATATGTATATATATATATAGTGGTGAATATAAACCAACTTATGACTGGGAGGGCACCACCTGGTATATGGAGGTTTTCCATAGGTACCCCCAATAGCTGGATGGTTGATTTCATGGAAAATCCCAATCTAAAATGGATGAGAACTAGGGGTGGCCCTAGGACTTAGGAGACCTCCATATATATATATTGTATATATATATATACACCGTACATATGATTCTTTATATATATATGTGGTAAATTAGTTGTTTAAAAAATAGAAATCTTATCACCCAGTCACGTATGGAACATGTCCAGTTACATGGATCGTTACAAAAAACGGATGCACCCCGAACCGTATCGTATGAACTACATTTGGGAGCGCAGTTCCACATGTTCCACGGTAAATTTGCATGAGTACCCTCTGGTAAACTAACATAGCTATGGAACATCAGCTTTTTTTAATGGAAAACTCACTATAAATTGCCATTTTCAATAGCTTTTTGTATGTTTACCAGGCCGGGTATATGGCCACAATGGCCTCGGGGCCTAGCTGCCCCAACATTCCCCAACTTATGAGAGGGTGAAATCATGAGCATCGAAAAATCCAGGACCCACAGAATCACGGCTTCCCATGGAAATCTCTATGAAGTACCCGGCCTGGTAAACATACAAAAAGCTATTGAAAATGGCAATTTATAGTGAGGTTTCCATTAAAAAAAGCTGATGTTCCATAGCTATGTTAGTTTACCAAAGGGTATGGGTTGAACCTACCATTCTCCCAGCGAAACTTGGTCAAAAGAATGCTTGTTTATCCAGCTGTTGGGGATGAAAAAGTGATGACACCATCAAAAACAGGTCTGGGCAAGTTATCATACCAGTATTTTTGAACCATATCTTGTCCAAATCTTTGAGACCTCTATATTTTTTACCCACGGATGTAGAACGTCCACATTTTTGGTAAACAAATCATTGGTTATATCCCACGGATGATTATCCAATACCATTGGTATTATATGGTAACCAATGGATCCGTGGGTATCTAAAAATCCATTGGTATTAACTAATGGTTCTGACTCAGGTAGCCATGGGATACTGTATTATGGGATCATGGGACCCTCGATCCATTTCTCAGGGTGGGACCTTCAGACATGGACGAAGTGCTTCTGGATACACCCGGAAATGGGGGATCCCCAAAATGGATGGTTTATAAGGGGAAATTCCCCATGACTTAAGAAATGCACATATATTTATATATATATATACATAAATACCATTGGTTATAAGTTATAATCATTAGTATTATCATGGCATTATAAATGATCAACAAAAAATATATAAAAAAATGATAACTGTTATCATCATTAGTTAATGTTGATTATCCATAGGGCCATAGGGTTATATTATAATGCCATGATAATACTAATTCATTTTCTCACGGTGGTTTTCACCCGGAAACTATGCTACTGGATAACACTTCTGGAGAAAAACATGGTTCATCCATTAAAAAAACTCGTTGGTGGTTGACGTGGTTGACCTACCCTTCTGAAAAATATGAGAGTCAGTTGGGATGATGAAATTCCCAACTGTTTCTGGAAAGTCTAATCAAATTCCATGGTTCCAGTCACCACCAACCGGACCAAGCAGAAAACATCCTGTGCTACTGTGGTTTAATTCACCCTACGCCCTGCTCGAGAGAAATCTGGAAAGAAAAATGATACTGTTTCTCTTGGGGATGGCTTCAATACCGGAAATGACCATATTTTGGAATCAAATACCCTCTGGTAAACTAACATAACTATGGAGAATCACCATCTTTAATGGGAAAATCCACTATAAATAGCCATTTTCAATAGCTATGTTAAATTGCCAGAGGGTATCCATAAATCATCTACAATGTGGTGCCCCCAAGATAGCTAAGTTGGTGAACATAACTCTAATTTCACGTTTGGACTTATGGTAGATATATCGAACTAGTTAATGGGATTATAAACCAACTTATAACTGGGGGGGCACCACCTTGTATGGTATCCATAAACCATCCAAAACCTAACATTAACATCTGACTGGGGGAATATACATCAACCAGCTACGGTATTTTCTTTTGCTTTGAGGAGTTGTTTTCCGTTGGGTCAAATGACATACCGTCCCGTCGCCGAGCATCATATTTGGCATTTTCAGATCGAACGCATTCTCTCAGCAGCTCCTAGCTCAGTCGAAGATAGGGTCAAAAAGGGAGATCAGCTGTGGCGGAGGCAGCAGAGACAGTTCACTATGGAAAATCACCATGTCTAAGAACAGAAAAATTCCAACTATTTCTATGGGCCATGGCTTCAATAGCTATGTAACAAATTACCAGAGGGTAAAAAATGTTAACCCAATCCGCTTGGCGCAAGAAAAACCGATCGTGTTTTTGCCAGGAAATGGAGATTTCGACAACAAATATCTGCGCAAAGCGTTTGACCCCACAGATCCATCCATATAATCCATAAATAACCCAGAAATAGATTTGGGGTATCCTATTTTCAGATAAAAAGCCAAATGACCCTCCAGTAAATCAACATAGATCTTGAAAATAGATGAAAATAGCCTATTGTTTAGTGGAAGCGAATCTTTCAACCCCAAACTCATGGCAGGATCGTCATGTTAGTTGGGGGATGGATTTTAAATCCTTTGTCTACAAGCCCATCTAACTATATCCACCATAAATTCCGAAATAAACCCTTCCCTCTAATATTAAACACACCCTGGCCACGCAACCATGGCTTTTTGTTGGGAATGTCCACATTCCACATAAGGACCATGCAATTGGGGTGTTGAATATTAGGGTGATGGGATTATTCCAAATTATATCAGTTCTAAACCCCCAGTTGATGGGCAAAAACATCGACCACCAATCAACTTCTCTACTTCCGGGTGCATTCCGATCATTCCACGGCTTGTGAATGGGACAAAATCTCCACGTATAATATGGCTATGGTGGCTATGGGTCAAAATTAAAAAGACCTGAAAACCCACAGATTTACGTATGTGTCTGTCATTGTACGTCTATGTTTAGTATGAACCATACTAAAAAATTGGGGTACCCAATTTTGACCCATACCCATATGGCTTATGGATTCTACACATCAATTACCACGGATCTTCGTGGCCCCTGCACGGCGGCTCCTCATAGTGTCCGATAATTTCTCGGACCCCCTCGCGCGCATCGTAGAAGGCTTCAATTTCGCCTGTGGACTCCAAAAACTGCCACACGTATGCCTTGGATGTCAGGGGTTGTTCTAGGTTTAATTGCTACAAGGGTAGGTTTAAGCCAGAATTCATGGGGAAATGATGGGTTTAAGATAGGTTTAAGCCAGAATTCATGGGGAAATGATGGGTTTAAGATAGGTTTAAGCCAGAATTCATGGGGAAATGGGGGGTTTCCACCGTTTAACATCCTTTAACCAACCAAAAATGGATGTTCTGCACGCGTTTTTGATTGAAAAGCCACCCCTAGGAGTGAAGTGGGGAGACACCAAAAATCCACATCAGATTTGGGGGGACACCATGATTTCAGACCAAACCATATCAGGACATGCAATGAAAATCCGTCAAGGTCCCATCAATGGACCAGATTGGAGGTTGAAAAGAAATGATAAAACCATGAACAACCACAACCAATTATCTATGGGAGAATATAATATGATATTAATAGCTTGTGATAATATACCATAGAATATACCATAATAATACATATCACAGAATATAATATGATGTATATATTACTATAATATAGGGATCGAATGGGATTTATAGGGATAAACTTGAGAGGGGGAACACAAAAGGTAGGGAAGCAAGAAAGGAACCGAAGAAAAAATGAAGGGGAGAGGGGAGGGAAAAATACATAAAGTGGAGTCTGGTAAAAGCGACGCGGCCATTTTCTTTCCAAAAATATGAAAGGGAGTCTGGTAAAAGCGACTGAAAGGCTTCGGCGATGTGGTTGGGGTTGGTGGTGGTTGTGGTGTTGGTAGTGTTGGTGGTGCTGGTGGTGTTGGTGTTGTTAGTGTTGTTGGTATTGGTGTTGTTGGTGTTGTTGGTGTTGTTGGTGGTGGTAGTATTTCTGGTGTTGTTAGTGTTGTTAGTGTTGTTGGTGTGGTTGGGTTTGTTGGTGGTATTGGTGTTGTTGTTCGTGTTGTTGAGGGTGGGTGTGGTGTGGCGTTGATTGTTGTTGTTGTTGTTGCTGGTGTTGTTGTTGTTGTTGTTGTTGTTGTGTGTTGTTGTGTGTTGTTGTGTGTTGTTGTGTGTTGTTGTGTGTTGTTGTGTGTTGTTGTGTGTTGTTGTGTGTTGTTGTGTGTTGTTGTGTGGTGGTGTGTGTTGTTGTGTGTTGTTGTGTGTTGTTGTGTGTTGTTGTGTGTTGTTGTGTGTTGTTGTGTGTTGTTGTGTGTTGTTGTGTGTTGTTGTGTGTTGTTGTGTGTTGTTGTGTGTTGTTGTGTGTTTTTGTGTGTTGTTGTGTGTTGTTGTGTGTTGTTGTGTGTTGTTGTGTGTTGTTGTGTGTTGTTGTGTGTTGTTGTGTGTTGTTGTGTGTTGTTGTGTGTTGTTGTGTGTTGTTGTGTGTTGTTGTGTTGTTGTGTGTTGTTGTGTGTTGTTGTGTGTTGTTGTGTGTTGTTGTGTGTTGTTGTGTGTTGTTGTGTGCTGTTGTGTGTTGTTGTGTGTTGTTGTGTGTTGTTGTGTGTTGTTGTGTTGTGTTGTGGTGTGTTGTTGTGTGTTGTTGTGTGTTGTGTGTGTTGTGTGTTGTGTGTGTTGTTGTGTTGTTGTGTGTTGTTGTTGCGTTGTTGCGTTGTTGTGTGTTGCGTGTGTTGTTGTGTGTTGTTGTGTGTTGTGTGTGTGTTGTTGGTGTGTTGTTGTGTGTGTTGTGTGTGTGTGTGTTGTTGTGTGTGGTGTGTGTGTGTGTTGTTGTGTGTTGTTGTGTGTTGTTGTGTGTGTTGTGTGTGTTGTGTGTGTTGTGTGTGTGTGTGTTGTGTGTTTTGTGTGTTGTGCGTTGTGCGTTGTGCGTTGTGCGTTGTGCGTTGTGCATTGTGCGCATTGTGCGTTGTGCATTGTGCGTTGTGTGTTGTGCGTTGTTGTTGTTTGTTGTTGTTGTTGTTGTTGTCGTCGTTGTTGTTGTTGCTGTTGCTGTTGTTGTGTTGTTGGTGTTGGTGTTACCCCTGCAGCGTTTTTGCTCGGTTCCGTAGTGGCCGAAAATCGTCAAATCGGTGGTGTTTTCGCGTGTTTTTGCAACTCTCGGAGCAAAAAACACCGTAAATACCGATGTTTTTGGCGGGTCGGAAGCCCAAAACCACGGTATTTACGATGTTTTTTGCCTCTGGTAGTAAAAAGCACGGTATTTACAGTGTTTTTTGGCCAGCACCTAGCAAAAACACTGGTATTTACGGAGGTTTCACCATGTAGCAAAATGTGGTTTCTTGATCCGAAAAGAACAAAAATACTGTAAATTACAATGTTTTGAGTCTGCTCTTAGGGTGCGTGGGAGGTGTGGAGGGGGGGGGGGTACTAAAATGACTAGCAATCTCCTGAAGAATCAGGTAACGGGGCTGGCCGCCCTCCCCTTTACTTCGTAAAGTAAAACTCAAGGTAGCCAAGGTAGCCCCTCTGGAGCTACCTTTCGTGAAATGATGATTCAACTGATTCAACTTTCAGAAAAGGCTCGATTTTTGAGCTTATGAAAACCAGCACCAACCATCCAGCGCTAACCAGCACCATCCATCATTGGGTCAGCTTCGTGTTAAATCCCTAGGGTGGTTTAACCAACAAATGAAGGGGGTACAATAGTAACCATGAAGATGTGGCAAATCCCCATCCATCCACATCCAAAAAAAATCTCCAAATCTCAGTTCTTGTTTGGTAAAATTCAAGACGGCTGATACCCTCTGACATGGAAAATGGCAATGTTCAAGTGGAAAATCATCTGCAAATGGCTCCTTTTCCAGGTTAAATGACCAGAGGGTATCCCCATGTTCCACCATGGCATCCCAGTTGCAGGTGATTTACCTACATTAGAAGATCTATTCTGCAGTTGGTTACATATATCTATCTATCTATCTAATTAATCACATTTACATATGGCGGTTTCCATAAATGGAGGATCCCCAAACGGATGGTGTATAATGGATAATCCTATTAAAATGGATGATTTAGGGGTACCCCCAAGAGCAGACCCATTAGGTATAGCTCTTGTCCTTTGCCCGCTTCCTTCCTGTGGACATTGAGGATATCGCCATCAAAGTCACAACGAAAGTAACGACTGGACGAAACAATCTGGCCAAGGCCACATAAAGGAAACCTGCTCAGCTTCTGTTACAGCGCTTTCCGTGCAGGTCTCCAGAATCACGTTCAATTGGCACAATTCGGTCATGCACCTTCCACTTGGGCGTTCAAATGTACCCTCTGGTAAACGTTAACAAAAAACTATGGAAAGATCCACCATTTTGTAGCTGGGAAAACTCTCACTATTTCGACTGGGCCATTTCCAGTTCGCTTTTTGTATGTTTACCAGAGGGTACTCAATGTCATCAAAGGCGCAAACAAGTCGCCGCAATTGACACCCTGCGACCTGATGAGGTCATCACTGAAGAGGCCACTGCAAGCGTCAGCATCAATCCAAGGTTCATGATCTCAAAAGCACCGCCAATCTGCAAACGCATCCCCCATGACTTAGGAAAGCCTGGTTGGTTGATGATTATAGTGGAAAACCATAGGAAAATGGTGGTTTAATGGGATTTAATGGGATTTAATGGGATCTACCCTCTGGTGATTTCTTACACTTTGCTATTGAAGCCATGGCCCAGTCGAAATAGTTGGAATTTACCCACTAATAGCATGGTGGATCTTTCCATAGTTTTTTGTAAACGCTTACCAGAGGGTACACCCATTAGACACCCCATCTCATCCATATATCCATAGAATCCAGACGGTTGGCATCCCCGTTCCCCATCAGCCCAGAAACCCGGCGATAGAAAAGCTTCAGGAACCTTGGCTCAGTCACGGAGCCAAGCATAGGGATGTGAAACAAAGGGCATAGGGATGAGATATCCAATATTTTTTTTGGATTATAACTCATCTAATAAAGTGGATTCTAGATATTTATATCGATGGATTGGTTTAAGGGAAAATTTTAACCGGAAAACCCCATATGAACAATGGGAAAATCGATGGTTTCCGGTTAAGATTTTCCCTTAAACCAATCCATTTGATAATAATCCACATATCAAAAAAGTGTGTGTTTTTGGTCAAAAAACAGGCAAATCTAAGAAAGACACAAATCTAAGAAATGAAATCAAAAAACAAATATTAAACTCGCATTAAAAACAAACAACTCCAAAATGAAAATCACAAGTCTAACATCAGGTGATTACTTTAGAATATGTGTTTATGTTTCTGAGGTGAGTCTATCAGTATTTCGTTTATAGTAGTTGGTCATTCACTTTACTCAACTTCTTTGATGTAACTCCCACGTATTCCAACATATTTCCATAGTGTAAAGTGAAATAAAATCTCCACGTTTTCTTGGTGTTGTAATTCTTACTTCAACACTAATTGGTTGGCGGTATACCTACCCCTCTGAAAAATATGAAAGTCAATGGCGATGATGACATTCCCAATATATATAGAAAAATAAAATTCATGTTCCAAACCACCAACCAGTGATTATTAACCATTATTAACCATCATTAACCATCATTATCCCATATTAAACCAATGTTCCAGTCACCACCAACCAGCTAAAAAAAACCAGAATTCCATATAGAATTTCTACTTCCGTTGCGGGTTGATCCCCGAAAATTTCCCATCTGCCTCCTCGATAAACCTTGACCAATTTGTCATGGTAACGTGTCATGTTATATCACTACTTGGTGAACTAGCCAGGAATCGTATTTGGTGAACTACACAGGTTTTTGAGTGGATGAAAACCCTACAGAAATCCCACTGGACCATATAATTTATGATATAACTTACTTATTTACTTAGCAAGTGGGATGAGCCACCAAGTTTTCTCCCGTAGTTTTTGATATTTGTCCATTTCCCTTGTTGATATCCCATATGTTTCCCACATCTTTCCCAGATGTATCTAATATTTTGATGTTTCCACATGTTTGCTAGATGTTCCGCATCTCCCTGGAGAAAAACTCGCCCCATGCCATACTGCTTGGGGGTGCGGGCCCCACTTAGTAGTTATGGATGAATAAAAGAATTCTGTATGGCATATCCCCACTTACATATGGGATGAAATATGGCTAATTGGCTAATTATATATGGATTCTAAATCACGGATCCGATTTGTGAGGCCTGCCCGTCTAAGAGGGGACTTAATATATATATATATATATACACATAACCATTAAAAAAAAAAAAACTCATGAAAATCACCATTTTGGTGAGTTTCAATCCCAGCTACAAGTTGGTTGCCCCCAAGATAGCAAAGTTGCTGCAACTTCACTATGCTTTATACATAGTGGCCATAGGGGATATACATTAATATATATATATACATATATATATATACATATATATATATATACATATATATATACATATATATATATATAACTAGTTTTCATGGCTTTCTCAACCAACTAACTCACCACCGGGGGCACCCATCGCTTCTTTGCGGCCAGGCGACTTGCAGTACTGCCGCACGAAGAGCTGCCTGACCGCCGTGCTGTTGCCCAACATGGCTCCATTGCGCTCCGTCTTGGCCATGCACTTGTCATCATCCACGATGCAGGGCGGGACGCCCACCAGGCCCACCTCCAAAATTGGCAAATCCGGGTTGGGGTTCCATAGTCATCCCAAGAGCTGGATGGTTTTAGATGGAAAATCCCATGCAAATCCTAGGTCCAATGGATATAATGGATGATGAAAGCTCCTTTTTCGGCTGAGATGATACTTTTTTACCATGTCTTTGGAGATATTTGTGCTTTTAAGGAATGGAGAAGTGATGGTAAAATATGGAACAACCATGTAAAATCCCTTGGGGCTGGTGCAACTGAAGTTGTTGTTTTTGGATTGAACTGAAATAACTAGGGGCAGGGGCTTAAACGAACACATGATGGGCAAAATCCAAAAATGATGAGATCTAAAGCTAGTGACCTACACGTGGGGATCACTGGAACCATAACCCATTTAAAATGTTCCGGTACCCTCTGGTAAACTAACATAGCTATGGAAAATCACCATGTTTTATGGGACAATTCACTATAAATGGCCATTTTCAATAGCTATTTTGACATAACCAGAGGGTATGTCCCGGGAGAACTCAAGAATCGGCATGAATCGGCTGTTCAAGTTCAGCGCGCTTTCGACGATGAAGTTTTTTCCAAACCGTTGGCACCAAGAAAAACATGATGTCAATTTCATTTGCAAAGGTTTCAGGTAGCAAAATGAAGAGTTTGCGGGCAGTTTGGATCCCTGCAAAAATGAGCCTCTAAACCTCTGCAAAAAGGAGGGAACAGTGAATCTATGGGACGTCCAGCCGCTGACCAAACTCAGGGTCTTCATCACAGCGATTCATGTGAAAAAAATGGCGGTTGAAGATTGATTGGGATTTTTTGTCACCCAAAAACTCAGGGTCTTCATGATGTTTTTGAGGCATTTTTGACACCCCAAAAATAGGCCAGGCATCCAAAAAATGCTCCAAAACGACCCTCGAACCTTGAAGCCAGAGGTGATCCAGGGGACAAACTTCAAGGGCGAACGGTGAGTGCCTAAGAGGGAGCAACCCCTCGTCCCGGGACCAAAGGTCCCCATGGTCCATGGTGGATTTATAGCACATGAGCGGGAAAAAGTTCGTGAAAGCTCTTGAGGCATTCAGAATCCTAGTTTTGGTTTTGTTTTTGGGATTGATATATCTGGGTATACAAAAGATAATATGATTTGTTGTAGGACATAGCTGACATCAATCTGTCAGTACATTAGTATCCAAGATTGAACATGATAAGAATAATGTGTGGTTCTTCACTGCTCTTCACCAACCACCCTTCAAGAGTTTATTTGTAGTCACTGGGGAGAAAACGATCCAATCCTATCCAATATTTTGTGGAGAATTAGAAAATACATGTGAAGATACTTGATCTGAAAAAAACACATCCAAAGTTTCAAGTGCCGGTAGAATCGATCTTGATAAATCATGAAACTATGGATCATCAGTGAGTGAATGATAGACTTGAGTATAATTGCTCAAACTTTGGCCATGATCAATTTGGGAGTATAAGTACCATGAAGCAAACAATAAACATTTTTGTTACACAGCTAGTATCTACGATAGCCATGCTACTGGGACACGGCAACGTAATGACAGAACTGTATACAAATGTGGGATCATAAAAAATACCCCTATCCCATCTGATTATACTACTTGGTTGATAGGTTTCCCTACTATGGGTTATCATAATCCCCAGTACGCCAGGTAGTATAATCCCCTATAGCAATCAATTAACCAGGGTATTTTTAATGGCTCATGTGGGATCATATTCAATCATATTCGATGGCGGGTGCAGTTCCACTCATTTAAGCGTGGGCATGTCGCCATCTCGCCATCGTCACAGGGATACATAGTGGATACATTCGTCCCAACGATATTGCTGGACTTACGTTCCAAATATTCCACCATGGTAAAAATACAGTATATACCCTCTGGTTATGTCAAACATAGCTATTGAAAATGGCCATAGAAATAGTGAGTTTTCCCATTAAACATGGTGATTTTCCATAGTTATGTAAACGTTTACCAGAGAGTATTTAAAAAAAAGAAAATCCCCAAGCAGGCGCGTCCAAGCTACAGAGTCGCGGTTCGGGTCAACTACGGCGTTGGCTGTGCATCCCACGAATCGGATCTATAACTTATAATCCATATATAACCCATATTTCATCCCATATAGAAGTGGAGATGCTCCATATTATACCTGTTTTTTTGTTTCCAATTGACTAAGTGGAACTGGGATTTTTAAGCCATCTATAAATGGGATAAGCCATTGGGACTAATCCGATCACCAGATGATCTTTTTCCCCACGTGCCTTCCATTCTTCAACACAAAAAAAGCCCCGAAATGTCCATCTGATTCCATTCTCAGAATGACTATGAATCATAATGAACATGCGACCAAGATCGACCAAGTTTGATTTTGAAAGCTCCTCAAATGTGTTTCAACATAGCTTAGCTCACCATTTCTATCATTTCTCATGGAGTTCCTCTAGAGTTTGCCCATAGTTACCCTCTGGTAACTTGTTACATAGCTATTGAACATGGCCATTTAGTTCGTTGATTTGCCCAGCTATAAAATGGGTATGTTTACCAGAGGGTATCCCATTGATATATATATATATATATATACTATCCCTACGTATCCCTACATGGGCTGGTTTTCCTATATATCCCTATGTATCCCTATAGATATCCCATTGTATGTCTTAGTTTACCAGAGGTTGATACGTACCCTCTGGTTATACCATTTATAGATGTCTTTATAGATATCCTTATGTTTCTATAATGGGATACTATAATAAGTTTATATCCCTATAGATATCCCTATAGATAAAATTTCTATAAAATTTCTCATGGAGTTCCCCTAGAGTTTGCCCATAGTTCCGTATAGTTTCACGTTTTCTTCCCACACGTTTTGAACCCAGGAGCCATCTTTCAAGTTGTGCAAGGCATGGATCACGTGATTCGCCTAGATGCCACTGGCAGGGAGAAGCAGCACAGGCAGAAGCGCTGGCTTTAAGGTGGTTTAACCATGACCAAAGTGCTGGAAGATGGTGTTTTTATCATCGAAAATCATTGCAAATGCTGGTTTAATCCAGTTGAATCATGAAAAATCTGGGTAAATTATCATATTTCACTAACCTGAATCTTGCGGCCAAAAAAAAGGGCATGATTCCACTATATCTAAACCATCATTCCCAGTGAGGACTGGGTTCGGTCGGGATAGTTTACCCAGAAAAATGGTTGATTTTCTCCACCCAATCCATCATTCACCAGGTGATTTCCATCTTCAAAGCACCTGTATGGAAAATCATATACCCTCTAGTAAATTAACATAGACCCTGGCAAATAGGACTTGGAAGATTAGTTTCCATTAAAAATGAGTTATTTTCAGGGTCTATGTTTATTTACCAGAGGGTAAATGCTGGTTACTCAGTTTAATGATGAAACAAGTTGGTAGAATGGAGAGATCATGGGATATACTGATGGTTTTAAGGGGGGTTAAGGGATAGCTGCTGATATTGGAATCTCATGGCAATTTTTCACTTCAACCGACCACAGTTGCTATTTAGGCGGGCGCAATCAGAGGGCACCAGAGATAAGCACTGCGAAAATCTCTCAAAATAAGTCGAGATCCAAGATCTGAATATATACATATATATGTGTAAAATGTACATATTTGAATTGCTTTTTCAGGGATCGACCCCTCAAAGCAAATGGCTGGTTCTATTTGGTAGCTATATTCCCATCAAAAATGGGAAAAGATTGAAGAATCAACATATATAGTAATTCTTTGGTAGTCCACAAAAAATAACCTGTTCTTCTTATGGTGCTCTTCCATATAGCCAAAATCCGAAGGATTAAACTACCTATATCCAGTCGGTAACGAAGAAAATTTCCCTTACCCATCCAGCCAACCGGAAGAGCAATTCTCTGGACATGTTCTGTGTCAATTTCAATTCATGTCAACCAAAAAGCCTTCATTTTAGCTCCATGAGATCACCAGGTCATCAGGATCTTTGCCATGTCGACCATGGCTAATCTAGATATCCAGCCGAAAAAAAATCTTCACTATCAGTCTAGTGATTCATATATTTCCCATATATATTTCCATATATTTCCCATATATTTCCCCATTTGAAATACATTTTAAGTCAGCCCATTCACCGACCATTCAGCATGGACCCCTTAAGGCCGATGACAGAGGGCAAAGTTACATCATTCGTTTGGGAGTTTATCCCTTTGCGAACTGGGAAATATGCTAAATCGATGTAAAAATGATAGATAAATATGGTAATTTTTGTAGGTAAATATGGTAAATCGAAGTAAATCGTCGAACTAAATGGCAATTTTCCATAGCTATCTTAAATTACTAGACGGCATCAATTCTTCCAATGCGTCCCAAAGCTACAGTGTTTTCCGCAATTATATTTGATATTGTTGGAATTTTTGGAATGAACCTCATATATGGGGAATGGTCAAAACCTGTACTATCTTTTTTTTTCGTGGGACAATGTGGGACACACATCCAGAATACCATAACTATTTTGGTGCGCAAAGCGCGGTACCAGAGTCGGAGATAGGTTTTTTTCCTACACTAGGGGTCCCTTGAAACCATCCATTTGTATTGAACAACCAACTGTTTTTCTATACAGGAATGGTCAATGTTCAATGGATTCGGGGTATGTGTCATGGTCAAGTTGCATGAGAAAACTATCCCATAGGATCCATGGTGCTGCTATATATTGCTATATATGGATCCCATCAATATACCCCATTCATGTTAGCATATATACCATACATCTGGGTAAATTATAATATTTCACTAAGATGAATTAAGGCCATTTGGGGATGATTTCCCTTATTAACCATGATTTCCAGTGAGGTCGCAGTGAGGTCGTGATGAAATTTACCCAGATAGTGGGATTAACTACGGTAACTACATTTAAATATACGGATTTTAGAATATACGGGCAGGTATTTTAGACTACCTCCAGGAAGGTTTTCCTTGGCCCGCCCGGCCATTTAAACATACGGAATCCAATTCATTTAAACACACGGTAACTACATTTAAATATACGAACTGGTATTTTGTACTACCTCCTGGGCATCGCGGTCTGGCCCGCCCTCCGCATATATAAATATCGTTACCGTATATTAACTATATTCATTATGGCATTATAGAATTACTATACCATTAACTATCCCAGTATATTGGATATACCATTTAACCATTATAGTTAACTATTCCATTGTGGTCATATACCATTATATATATACCAGCACCATGGATCCTAATTATGGCTATTGGGCTATTAGGTCAATCCCATCTGGTCGGAATCCGAAAAAAACATCTCTAAAATCCTGATGGATTGATGCTCATCTTACTGCTAAGTAAAGGAGGGAATGGATGGCTTGGGTTGCTGGGGGTTGCTGGGGGTTGCTGGGAATCTATATTCTTCATAGTTATTATGGGAATCATTCCCTATCTAGTGTACGTTTAGCCTACGTTTAGCACCAGTCATAGTATATGGAAAATCTAGTTTTTACTGGTGCTAAACGTAGGGAACACATTAACCTAGAAATACATTAAAAACTCTGATTCTAGTTTTGATTCCCTCAAAATGTTTGATTCTGGCTGGTTACCCTCTGGTAAACATACAAAAAACTATGGAACATCACCACGTTTCATGGGAAATTTCACTATTTCTATGGCCATTTTCAATAGCTATGTAACAAATTACCAGAGGGTATACATTCCAATATCTGTGCTAATATCGCATTAAATGCCTAGTTTTGTCATTGTCAAGCCACAAATTTGGTGATGGTTTTGCACTAATCCAACAGATTCCCTCGGGATGGGGCCACTAGTCGATAGCGTGAAAGGTTGAGATATAAGTGGCTGAATTCTATGTTTATCATCTGGTTATTTAACACTTCGCCATGGAAAATCACCATGCTATTAATAGGTAAACCATCTATTTCTATGGGCTATCTATACCATGGCTATGTTAGTCATAACCAGAGGGTAACTATGGTTTATGGTAGATATAACGAGCTAGTTCATGGGGTTTATAAACCAACATTCACATCACTGGGGGGGCACCATCCTGCACACATTCCCAGTGGTTAATCTGATCCAACATCATCGTACTGTGGATGGGCCAGCGAAGTCCAGCCAGCCACCAAAAGGATGGTTGAAACCCTTTTTTCAGTCGTCATACATGGATCAACTGCTGCAGGCTTTCGCTGGCCCATCCACAGTATCATTTACCCTCTGCCTGGTAAACATACAAAAAACGAACTGGAAAGATTCACCATGTTTCATGGGAAAATCAACTATTTCTATGGCCATTTTCAATAGCTTTTTGTATGTTTACCAGAGGGTAATTTCTGATCATAGTTGGTTGATGTTGGTGATATATCCCAGTATCTCCGCCCTGTCATATCCCATGCTGTTGTCTCCTGACATTTTTTTCCGCGTCTAGGAGGGATATGTTTTCTCACTCCACATGTCACTAGCCTCTAGTAAAAATGCCAGATGTTGAACAAAACATTGATATATCATATCTTGTGAAACTAATAAGGTTTGTTACTTCTACCAGGAGGTCCAATATACAGAAGGCTCACTAAGTAATCCTAGCCTCTAGTGACTCTAGTAGATCATCCAATTTCTTATATCGGTTATATCCATTAAATATCCATTAAATATCTGTTAAATATCATATTCCATTAAATAATGATCCATATATCCATTTAACAATGATCCATTATATAAATATCCATTAAATAATCATCATTGAATACCCTCTGGTAAACTAACATAACTATGGAAAATCACCATTTTTAATGGGAAAACTCACTATAGATGGCCATTTTCAATAGCTATGTTAGTTTACCAGAGGGTATCCATGAAATATCCATTCCATGTGCCCATCATTAAATACCCATCACAAAAAGGGTCTCTCGCCTCCACACTTTTTTCCATCTCCTCGTCCTGCCCCTGAGAATGTCCGTTGGATGGGGCCCCGGGGCGTTGGCGAAGGTGGTGAAGATTGTTGCCCCAAAGGTCACGTAAAAAAGGGTTGACCTATGGGAAATAGTTCACGAAGTAGTTACTATGGGTATTCTAAATCATAAATCAAGAAACATTTCACTTGGGAGAACCATCCTGTGGTTTTTTTTCATTGTGATTTAACCAACGATTTCATGCGATTTAGATGGGATTTAATAGCGATTTTTTGCTATGAGATGCAGCCCCAAGTAGTGGTGATTTTTTGCCTACCCTCTGGTAATGACTAACATAGCTATTGAAAACGGCCATAGAAATAGTGGATTTTCCCATTATAGTACCATTATAATCACATTATAGTAATCCCACTATTGACATATACCCTCTGGTAATTTAGCTATTGAAAATGGCCATAGAAATAGTGGATTTACCCATTGAAAATGGTGATTTTCCAGTTCGCTTTTTGTTGGTTTACCAGAGGGTAAGTGGGAATGGTTCTATTATGGTTGTCCCATCATGTACCATTTATCCCAGGATTTCCCCATGATTTCCGATGTTGGTGCATACGGGTGTCTCTGAAAATCATGGCAAAACTCCCTTTCAAACCCATGGTTCTCTCCACCATAAATCCATGATGGCCTAGTTGTAACCAAGCCAACCTAATTCACAGGACCTTTTCCGCACAAAACATTTTTCTAGCATGGCATGATCTCCTAAAACCATTATGACAAAAAAGACTGATGATGATGACACATATATATATATATATATATTTACACAGTACTGTATATATACATATATATATATATACAGTATATATGTATATATGTATACTGTATATATACATATATATATATACAGTATATATGTATATTAATACATACACATTTGACAAGTAAATTCACTGCTTAAACTGACATAGACAGGGCGCATCTGAGTTCCAAGGATTGTTTGGCTCTTGTCCAGGATGAGTTTTTTTTAATCACTAAGCCGTAAGCCATGATTGAGACCGGGAGACTCCTTTCCCGAAACTTTGGGGCTATTCCAGCATCTCATATACTGTTGTCCACTTGGGAGTGGGGTACATCCAGCTTTGCATCCCATCCATACAATGTGAGGCTCCCAAGCTAGCTAAGTTGGTTTATAACTCCAATAACTATGGTTTATGGTACTTATAACTTATAACTATAGTTACTGGGGCTTATAAACCAACTTATAACTCGGGGGGCCACATTGTATGTTGTTTTTCCAATGGTCAAGTTACTGAGCTTTGAAGATCATCCAAGGCATGCGGAATCATCTCGTCGAATTATAGACATATAAAGCCTCAATCTATGCGAAATACATGATCCCCATGTCTCAATAGTATAAATAATAAATACAGTCATCCTGGAGAAAGAATATGGAATTCTAGAAGAAAGTCTTCAGTAGAAAATGGTAAGATATCTTTGAAAATCCCATATTCATCCATATTCTATCTACTTCAGGATGATTATACCGGTGAATGATCAACCTGCCATCGGCGTGGCTCGTCCTTCTTGCGATCTTTGTGCTGGCTCGCAATGCCTCGCAGCAGCACCACCTGCGGACCCAGGTGGCCCAAGAAAGATCAAAGAAGTTGGTGATTTCAGCATCAAACATACACTGGTTGGTGGTATACCTACCCCTCTGAAAAATGATGGAGTTCGTCAGTTGGGATCATGAAATTCCCAACTGTTTCTGGAAAGTCATAAAACTAATGTTCCAGTCACCACCAACCAGATACGTTTTATTCTACAGGAGTTTAGACATTGGCTATGCCTCAAAAGCCGGATAGCCATGGACCCGCCATGGACCCTGGTCTTTTTTGGTCATCTTGAGTACCCTCTGGTTATTTAACATAGCCCTGGAAGCCATGGCCCATGAAAATAGATGATTTTCCCAGCGAACTAAACCTCCATTTATGGTTGGGATTTTCCATGGCTATGTTAGTCATAACCAGATGGTATCTGTGATGGCAGTTTTGAGTCCTTCCCATGACAATGGAGTGGTTGGTTGTACCAAGGGAATACTGAATACCCGGCCTGGTAAACGTTTACAAAAAACGAACTGGAAAGATTCGCCATGCTATGTAGCTGGGTAAATCCACTATTTCGACCCATTTTCAATAGCTTTTTGTATGCTTACCAGAGGGTAATGTGTTTGAAACCCATGTTCTCATCGTTTATATATATATATGTATGATGATGATGAAGTTCACTGGTTGGCAACTGGCATCACTTCCGATACATCTAAGCGTAATCGCCTAGGTGCCTAATGTCCCATGTTCAGAGATACTAGATATACTAGCGTTTTCTAATAATATCTAATATCCATATCATAGCCATACCTAGCTACCCCTAAAAAAATACGTGTCATATCACAGGAGGTGTCCTAAACATTTGAGGTTTACCGGACAAATCATCCAGTGGTCATGGATGACTGGTGACGACTGGAGATCCCCCTGACTTACCCGGCCTGGTAAACGGGCTAACATAACTATGGAAAATCACCATTTTTAATGGGAAAATCCACTATTTCAATGGCCATTTTATGCCGTTTTCAATAGCTATGTTCGTTTACCAGAGGGTAAGAAACCTCGAAACCTCGTAATCCCAGTGGCAGCTGAAAGATATCTGTTCTGCTTCAGGTGCGTCACATCACATAAAACCTGGGCAAACGTTGATGTGGCCCAAAAAAAACGGAAAAAACAGGGGAACAATTGCAATGTTTCACCGCCAAAAATAGGGATTTCGTGGCATTTTCATGGGGGTGGTATTAGTGGGATATATCACTCATATAACCAACGGAACATGGATCAACTTTCAAACGTCCATATGGCCGAAACTCTAAACGTAAAGGAGCTCCAACTGGTTCCCTCCGTTCACCACTTTGCCAAAATCTGGCCAAGATATGCCATGCTTCCAGGGATATTGACCTAAGACCAATGATACTGGGGGTGAATCCCCACGGGATGTTTGTTTTGACCAAAAAACCCTCGATGTAAATCCTGAGCTCGTCACCAGCTTAGCTCAACTGGCACCTTCGATCGAAAATAGGCTTCCCAACTGATCCACAAAAATCAACTCTATCTCTAAACGCCCTACTTTTTGTAGAATTCATGGATCAGATTTACCTCAAAAAAAAACAACTAAAAAGCCGAGATATTTTTCCCATCGAAACTTAAGGTGACATCTCCATGGTCAAAATGACCAGTAACTTGCTGCTAAATCCCACCATAAAATCACCACCTCTGTTCGTCAGTTGGGAAGGATTATCCCAGATATCAATGGGAAAATAACATTCATGTTTGAAACCACCAACCAGTAGTAGTCAAAATTGCCTTCTTATGGCTAAATATGGCTAAATCCTATAGGTTTTTTGGGGGACGACCGTGGTCGTGCTGCTGCCAGCGGCCAGGTGCTGCCAGCAACGTTTTTGCTTTCAAAGAGTTCCGTGACAATCTCCTCCTCGACGAAGGTTTCGTGATTCTGCTTGTCACCTCGCTGAGACTGACGTCGTGGATCTGAACCCTCCGAATAGAGCTGGGAGTTGGGAGTGCATTGGATGTATCCCACTATATAATACTATATATATATGTTGTATATACATATGCATATATACATACATATTATATATATATGTATATGTATATATACATAATATATATATACAGAATATCACATAAATATGATAAATGATATATGTATATGATATATGCAAGGAGCCGATGAGTATCAATGATTGGAATATGTTTCGAGAGGGTCCATCTAAGTGTTGAACACCATACTGATTCTTTCTGCTGGACACGAGGAATGCTCATCCAATGGATTTGATGCTCATCATCCATCTTGAAAAATCATGATACCCTCTGGTAAACGTTTACATAACTATGGAAAATCACTGTTTTTAATGGGTAAATCCACTATAAATGGCCATTTTATGCCATTTTCAATAGCTATGTTTGTTTACCAGAGGGTAAATCCTCTAAATTAAATTTAAGCTTACCTAAGTACAATCCATCAATTCACCAGCATACTTGGTGGTTTTCACGACAGCCACGAATCCACGGTATATAGGTGTAATATGCCTGGTTCGTCCAGTGGGATTTCTGTAAGGTTTTCATCCACACTAAAAAAACTGGGGTTGGAACTAACCTACTTACGATTCGTGAGTTGAATCACCAAGTAGTAAAACAATGTGAATATTAGTTACTATTCGATGTTTACTGCTAGTAGTAAACACGTTAGTACTAATGAATACTATAGTTACTATTCAATGTGAATCATTGGTATAATCAATATTCAGGATAGTATCAACCATAATATTATCCTCTGGTTATGTCAAAATAGCTATTGAAAATGACCATTTATAGTGAGTTTTCCCATTAAGAATGGTGATTTTCCATAGCTATGTTAGTTTACCAGAGGGTATAACTAACAATTTTAGGGATTTGATATATCCAATTTATACTTGGTGGTTCATCCCACTTAGTAAGCAGGCTAGTTCACCCCAGTTGTAAGTATATTAACCCTGCTTATCCCACTGGATGAACCAGGGATATTTCACCTACTTACTAAGTGGGATGAACCACCAAGTACAATATGTATGTATGTATATATATATATATATATGTATGATTATATATGCACTGTATACATATAATACTATAGTATAGACCCCATGTTTGGTGCATATAATATGTTATAGTACATATCTGGTTGGTGGTTTTACCATCTTGAAAAGTATGAAAGTCAATGGGAAGGGTTATCCCATATATTATGGAAAAATAAAACTCATGTTTGAAACCACCAACCAGATGTTATAGTACATGTATATATGTGGTCTATATATAATGTACATACCCTCTGGTAAACGTTTACATAGCTATGGAAAATCACCATCTTTACTAGGTAAATCAACGAACTAAAGGTGCCATGTTCAATAGCTACAATGTGAGGCCCCCCAGTTATAAGTTGGTTTAGATTCGCCCCAGTAACTAATTATAGTTATTTGCGTACCATAAACCATAGTTATTGGAGTTATGTTCACCAACTTAGCTATCGAACCGGGGCCAACCCCATTGTATCTGGGTAAATTATAATATTTCACTAACCTGAATCTTGCGGCCATAAAAGGGGATGATTTCCCTCTATCTAAACCATGATTTCCAGTGAGGGAGATCAGTGAGGTCGTGATCAAATTTACCCAGATCTATAGATGATTTATCAATGATTTACCTATTAGTCAGAGGGTATCTCATGAAATTCCCATTGAAATAGCAAACTATGGCCCAGCAAAATATGGCCTTATATGGTACCTCCATTTTAGGATCCTGAAATTCCCATGTTCAATAGCAAACTGTCACAAATTGCCAGGCCGGGTATCACTCGCCATCTCCAAGCTCCGCCGAGCTGCGTGCTCGCACCGGGGCCAACGAGACGATCGGATATCGATAGTGCTGAGTCGGGACCTGGACCCGGCAGAAACCGGCGCGGCCGGGGCCGGGTGTCACCTGCCGGCGAAACCATGACATAAATCATCAACCATGGAGATTTATGCAGATTGAACCGAAAATGATGGATTATATTTGAGATATATCTTTTTAGAAATCCGAATCAACATTTCAACAAAGTCAAATGATAAAAAAGGGATGATCATCTCTGAAAACATGAACTCTTATCTGGCTATTTTCAATGTTAGGGGGCAAAACGGGAGTTGAAACCCAGGACTATGGCAGGACGTAGACATAGATATCTTAAGGATCAACCCGAGGAATCTGGTCGGAGATTGCATTCCACAGATTGTTGGCTCAGAAAAGAACCATTACCCTCTGGTAAGCTAACATATACAATGGGATATCTATAGGGATATATATAGGAAAACCAGCCCCATGTAGGGATATGTAGGGATAGTATATATCAATGGGATACCCTCTGTTAAACTGGCTGTTTGCTATGGATAATCACCATCTTTATCATCTTTCATAGGTAAATCAACGAACTAAAGGTGCCATGTTCAATAGCTATGTAACAAATTGCCAGAGGGTAATATCATTAATCAACCAACCAAACAAAAAGATTCTAACAATTATGTCCAGCAATTGAACATAACTACGGAAAATGGATGAACATGGCCCATTTGTAGATGATTTACCTAGTATGAATGGTGATTTGTTACATTTCTCGATCTGTTGAAACGGGGATCAACGGGGGTCCCACCGACCTTTCCCCGTTGAAACACCGTTGTTTCACTCGAAGATACGATGTTGGTCACGATCTCAACCAGGGTGGACGACAGCCTGGATCGGAGGTACCTACGATATATAATATAAGGCGTATGTTTTAGGGCTATGTAAGGGAATATGCCCCCGAAATATGGCTGAAAATATGGTACAGTACCTCTATTTTAGGGTCCTGAAATTCCCATTGATCTAATTCTCTACCAGTAATGTACTAGTAATTAACAAAACACTAAATATTTGATCCAAAAAATATCATAGTAATACGTATATATATATATAATCACTAGCTTTGAGTCACAGTAATATACGTGTAATACTCTAGTAATATCGTCACTGGTAATTACGAAGTATTTATAATAGTGCTGAGTGTAGTAATATCACAATATGATCAACTATAGTACCAGCAATTTCAGTCATATAATATAATTAGTACCCTCTGGTAATTTAACATAGCTATTGAAAATGGCTATTTATAGTGAGTTTTCCCATTAAAAATGGTGATTTTCCATAGTTATGTTAGTTTACCAGAGGGTAATTAGTAGTTGGATCATAAAGGACGAATCACCAAAATTGCATCAAACTGCAATAAAGGATGGCCATTCAAGTACAAGAACACTATACCCTCTGGTGAACGTTTACAGTTCGCGACGTTCGCAAAATCACCTTGTGTCAGAACGGTCGATCAACTATCAAAAACGGCCATGTTCAATAGCTACCCTCTGGTAAGCTAACATAGCTATGGAAAATGGCCATTTATAGTGGATTTTCCCATTAAAAATGGTGATTTTCCATAGTTATGTTAGTTCACCAGAGGGTAATTAGTAGTTGGATCATAAAGGACGAATCACCAAAATTGCATCAAACTGCAATAAAGGATGGCCATTCAAGTACTATACACTATACCCTCTGGTGAACGTTTACACTTCGCGACGTTCGCAAAATCACCTTGTGTCAGAATGGCAGATCAACTATCAAAAACAGCCATGTTCAATAGCTATGTTTAAAATTACCCTCTGGTAATTTAACATAACTATTGAAAATTACCATTTTTAATGGGAAAACTCACTATAAATGGCCATTTTCAATAGCTATGTTAAATTACCAGAGGGTACAGGAGGCTAGCAGTCATTTTAATGACCAATGAGACAGATTTTTTGTGGATGGTTGCGACATCCTGCACCAGTTGAAAACGGTGGTAAACATCCCATTATTCATAGCTGGTTGGGGATTTCAACCAACCCCTGTGAAAAATGGAGCTCGGAAATGTTGGGATGATTATTCCATTCCCAACTGTGAAACTGGAAAGTCTAATCAATTTCCATGGTTCCAGTCACCACCAACCAGTTATGATATACCATTTATAATGGTTATATATATATATATATCCCTATTAAATTCCATTAAGTCCCTATGGAAAGTCATAAAAATGTTCCAGTCACCACCAACCATTTATAGGGTTTCAACCATCCGCTTGGTGCTTTCGGCCCCCCAAATTGATCAACAGATAGGAAATTTGGAAACAAACCATATTAGGTCAATCGTTGCTAGTCCACAAAAAAAATGGTCATATACCCTCTGGTAATTTAACATAGCTATTGAAAATGGCCATTTATAGTGGATTTACCCACTGAAAATTGTGATTTTCCATAGTTATGTTAGTTTACCAGAGGGTATACTTTTGCTGTTGACTTTCTGAAAATCTGTCCATGTATACTTATAGCAAAAAACGAAAGGATTGTCGACTGTAAGGGTTTCTTAATATGCAGGTACCCCCAGTTCTCATCCATTTTAGATTGGGATTTTCCATGAAACCATCCAACCATCCAGCTATTGGGGCTACCCCCATGACTTAGGAAACCTCCATACATTTCAACGACCCAGTCGCTTTTCCGAAACCGTCGTCGGCCTATTTAAATGAACCAGCTCGGGGCTGCAATCGATTAGCAAACATCAGACTTCAGCATGGTTAGCCTCCGGTAAACATAATGTCTGGACATCCATTGATTAGGACCCCAGACCTGAAATCTGGGATTTTCAGAAGGATTTTCCATAGCTACGTTGTTTGCTGGAGGGTAGAGGTTACAATTCGAGGGGTTCCATAAATGGGGATAATACCCCAAAATGGGTTTATACTGGAAAATATTATTTGCCCTCTGGTAAACTAACATAACTATGGGAAATCACCATTTTTAATGGGAAAACTCACTATAAATGGCCATTTTCAATAGCTATGTTTACCAGATGGTAAAACAATTTAAGACGGATGTTTTGGGGGTACCCCCATGACTTCGGAAACCTTCGACGAAAAACATCTCTCCGTTGGCCCAGGAACATGGTCTTGTGCAAGAATCCCAAGTTCTGTAGCTCGAGATCTCCATGATTGCAAAGTTATTTGACGAATAACATTCAAAAGAATGAGGGAACAGAAAAAGCACATCAAACGACAAACAAACGTGATGAAGATGTAAAAAAAGAAAAAAACAATTATCCCCAGCTTATAATCACCATTTCATGGCCAATCTTAGATACTCTTAGATACACAACAAATTAAATTCTCAGCTGGTTAATAGATATTCCATAAGATTGATACCAAAAGACTCAGGTTTAACTACTAAGACTGACCTAGAAATTAATCTCCATGATCATCTCACCATTATATAATCAGATTATCACCATCATTAATCACCATATTTCATAAGATACCATAAGATACCCATATTGATCATCACCTAGAAATTCATCTCACTCAGGTGGAAAAAACTCACCGAGTCACTGAGTCTCGAAGCGCAAGGAGGTCGTGCAGCTGGAGATGCATTGCGCGATCAAGCGATTCACGTGGTCGAAGGTGGGCTGTTTGATATTCCTGGAAAGTCATGGGGAAATCTGTTGATATTTCTGTTTGAGATGCCTTGGGACAAAGACGGAAAACTCATGGGGAAAGCATGAGGATATCGCTGAGACTTCATTCTGCAGACATTGATGGGGATTAACGGGATTTCTATGGATTTCTGTTGATATTTATATGGGGAGTAAAGGGAATCTTCCTTGAAGCTTTGGGTGATTTCAATGGGGAAAACTCAGGGGAAAACTCTGGAGAAATCATGAAGACACCGATTCTATTCGATATGATTCTTGATCTTTCGAAAGATTTTGGATGGTGATAAAAAACAATGAACAATGATTGACAATGGCGACTGGGAATTTATATGGATTTATGGCTTAAATTTATGGATTTTATGGGGATCACGAACCAGTGGGATCCTTACCTCTGACTCACCATCACCAATCTCTGGGATCCTCCCAGAGATTGGGGCTACCGATTTTACCCCAGACTTCAGACTCGCTGATGTGGTGAAATACCCTCTGGTGAACTAACATAGCAATGGAAAATCACCATTTTTAATGGGAAAATCCACTATTTCAATGGCCATTTTCAATTGCTATGTTAGTTCACCAGAGGGTATCATGTATCATTTGTTATGTCACGAAAAATGTCCCTTAAGAAGCAAAAATCGAATCTTAGATACTGTCAAGTATCCCATTGTTACAATGTGGATAGATTGTATACAATGATTCTTGGAAATCCCGTAAAAACGAAAATTACTTTACTTCGTGTGATCCCCACCATGACATTTATACATTTTCTTACTGGCAAATCTTCTGGCATTCTATCTGGCATATCTTCTGACATTCTATTTGGCATTCTATCTGGCATATCTTCTGGCATATGATCTGTCATATCTTCTGGCATATCTTCTGGCATTCTATCTGGCAAATCTTCTGGCATTCTATCTGGCATATCTTCTGGCACTCTATCTGACTTATCTTCTGGCATTCAATCTGGCATTCTATCTGGCATATCTTCTGGCATTCTATCTGACATATCTTCTGGCATTCTATCTGACATATCTTCTGGCATATATTCTGACATATCTTCTGGCATATCTTCTGGCATATCTTCTGGCATATCTATCTGGCATATCTTCTGGCATTCTATCTGGCATTCTATCTGGCAAATCTTCTGGCATTCTATCTGGCATTCTATCTGGCATATATTCTGGCATATTATCTGGCATTCTATCTGGCATATCTTCTGGCATAAATTCTGACATATCTTCTGGCATTCTATTTGGCATTCTATTTGGCATTCTATCTGGCATATCTTCTGGAATATCTTCTGACATTCTTTCTGACATTCTTTCTAACTTTCTTCTGCACATTCTTTGTCCCATATCTTCCTACATGAGGTCCGGCAGGGAACACTTGGCGTGTATACTCGCGGTTGAGGTCCGGCAGGGAACACTGGGCGTGGATGGTCGTGGTTGAGGTCCGGCAGGGAACACTGGGCGGGGATGGTCGTGGTTGAGGTCCGGCAGGGAACACTGGGCGTGGATGGTCGTGGTTGAGGTCCGGCAGGGAACACTGGGCGTGGGTGGTCGTGGTTGAGGTCCGGCAGAGAACACTGTGGATCGCGGGTCGCAGTTGAGCAAGGACAACGAGGACAACGAGGACGACGAGGACGACGAGGACGACAAGGACGACAAGGATGACAAGGAGGAGGAGGAGAGGAGGACGAGGCAGGAGGAGGCGGAGGAGGAGGAGGAGCAGGAGGAGGAGGAGGCAACTGACATAAAATCTAACAACCCTCACCTGGCAGGTGGGGAAAAAAAAAAGTAGTCAAATGTATATTGGGCATCATCTTTCCAAATCTGGAATCAACCCAATTTCAAGCAGTTTCCTGCCGAGGGGTCCGCCAGTTGTGACTTGCCCAGCACTGGTAATCTGCCAGTCAGCCATTGGCTGCAGTTGAACTCGACCCAAAAAAAAACACAAAAAAAACACATACCCTCTGGTAAACTAACATAGCTATTGAAAATGACAATTTTTATAGTTGATTTACCCATCAATAGCATGGTGATTTTCCACAGTTATGTTAACGTTTACCAGGCCGGGTACCCTCCAATAAACCAACACGGAAAATCAGCTTCAAAACCGCTGAAGCATCGAATCGAACTGATTCAGCCATACCTTTCATTACCAGAGGGCCATCCAGTTCTGGGATAAGCAGCTAAGAAAATTTCTTATTCTCTGGCAATCTGTCACAGTTTGCAAACTGGAAGATCTGTAAAAAAAACATAGCGAAAAAAAATCAAGCAATTATGATTGACCAACTATTATCTCATACCAACAATCGAACAACAATATTCATTTGCTAATAGGTATAATCCCTATGGTAGCGAGAATTTTATGGCTGATATCATCCCCCTGGATCCAGAGAACATTCCAACCAGCCGAAGAGTAAGCTGTCATGTCTCCCCATTTCTATATTAACTGTACTTTTGTTACATCTACTATCAGCCATGATATGTCAATACTGGTTCTAGTTCTTCTTCTATACCAGTTCTAAATTGCTATTTCTATGGTTATAAAATGATATAAATGGGGTTCTTATTCCATTTTTATGGGGTGACTTACTGACTTATAACTGGTATTTCGGGCAACTGTACCCATCACCAAGCTGCAGTTTGTTTTCGCAGACTTTGTAAGCTGCTTGATTGTCCAGCATCAAGGACACGTCAACCTCCCCGGCGTCATGGCTGTCATCGACAACACTGTGAAGAAACCCAAGGTGTCCCTACAGGAAGATTATTCGGAAATGTCGAGTTTTCCACATCTAAGTTCTTTTTGGGGAGGTACAGTAATTGAAACGAAAACGCAGATGTCCCACTTGAACCAGGATGTCCGTTTTCCCACACGTACCATTCAGGACCCCAGGTTTAAAGTTTCCATCACCCAGTGGCAATTTGAGGAAACTTCTGTGGGAAACTGACACATTATATAACTGAATCGTTCATCTCGTTTTAGTTGGAAACGTTCATCTGGTTAGTGGTTTCAACCCCTCTGAAAAATATGAGTCAGTTGGGGTTACTATTCCCAAGATATGGAAAAAATGGAAAAGCAAAAAATGTTCCAAACCACCAACCAGATTACAGTATATCCATATGTTTGATTCCTGCATCATTTTTGAAGCCACTGTTTGATGACACCGGGCGGTGCCATGCTCATCTGACATGTTATATAACTGAATAGTTCATCTCGTTTTAGTCGGAAACGTTCATCTCATTTTTGGTGATCAAGTTGCTCAATTTGGCTCTGCTTTCCCGGGTATGCCTGTTTTCAGGCGCACCCAAATACATCCAAATAACATACCCAGATGCTCCATGTATGGTATATTTACCTACATTTGGGTGATTTTTAGGGCAAATGTTGGTAAATATTCCATACATGGAGCATATGGAATGCATATGGGATATATTGTTGGTTGTAATCCCAGGATATTCCATAAAATGGTTGATTTTCCCACAAAATCACCATTGAATTTTGATTAAAACCCCATTTGGGATAGCCCAAAGTGCGATTCTGCTGCAAAATCGCTGCGACCAAGGCGCCACATCTCTCATGAAATAAGTCGAGAAGATGCAGTTGTAGGGCTCCACAATGCTACTTGAGAATTGATTGGATGGATAAATCACCTGGTCAGAGATCTTCAGCCAGCTCAAAATTTGGAGAATTAGATAGAATTACCCAGTCTTTAGATATATTTAGTGACCCCACTGATATATTTAGCCTAGTGCTCCACTTATACCCTCTGAGAAGGTGTGGCCAGACAGATCCCAAAAAAACAACTCCAAATACTCTCAGGTGTGGCTGGAGCTGTAGGTACTGTATGCTTAGATGGTGGCCCTATCTTCCCCATGAAAAGCCGATTTTCGAATGGCCGGCCCTTGAAACTGCTATGTTCACCAAATCCCCCATATGTTCACCAAAACATCACGTGGTGGTCACGTGGTCCACGTACGGAAAAGTGTTTTTGCCATGGCTCTGGGTAAAGGCCATATTATTTCACTAACCTGAATCTTGCGGCCATAAAAGGGGGATGATTCCCTATACCCTCTGGTGAACTAACATAGCAATTGAAAATTGCCATTTATAGTGGATTTTCCCATTAAAAATGGTGATTCTCCAATTATAATCCATTTACTAACTAGTTGACTAACTCCATGGCCCATCTAAGTAAACCATGATTTCCAGGGTTCGGGAGGACACGGTCGTGATGAAATTTACCCAGATGGCTGGATGAAAGCGGTACAAAAACCGTCCGAAACATCGACCAGATTCGATTCTAATGGCTCCTTTTCAAGGGAAAATCGAAAGGATGGAAACCATCGGCTTTTTGTTCATGGGTTTTCCTATATGAAACATGGGTTGAACGTGATGAAGTTCTATATGTCAATATGATTTTCTTGAAACATAGATAAGTTTTATATGTTCAATTTCAATATGAAACAATTGATTCAACCCATGATTAAGTTCTATATTTCAATACCAGTGATTATTTACCATCTGGTTATTTAACAGTTCGCCATGGAAAGATCCACCATGCTATATAGCTAGGTAAACCATCTATTTCGATTAGGGCCATCGAAAAACCATGGCGAACTGTTAGTCATAACCAGATGGTATAGATCATCATGTTCCCAATTATTTTCCCATTCTATCCCATCAAATACCACTAGTTTTGATGGTTGATACTATACCATAGCTGTTAGTCATAACCAGATGGTATAAATCAAGTTTCACTGCTTGTCATGTCCTCAAAAAAAAAACGTTTTTTTCAAAGATCCACGGTCCGGGCCAAGTCGCTGGTTGAAAGATCGTTTTCCTCAGCGTGGAAAAACACGTGCGAGGCGGGTGGGAGTCGAGATGTGTTTGGAAAAATGGCTGATGTTCAATGGATTGGTTTATATAAGGGGAAAATGTCACTTTTCTGGGGGAAAATGTCACTTTTTTGGGGGAAAATGTCACTTTTTTGGGGGAACATGTCACTTTTTTGGGGAAAATGTCACTTTTTTGGGGGAAATGTCACCTTAAGCTGAAAATGTCTAGAACTTCAACTTGAACTGAAAAACCAATCCATTGAAAATTAAGGGCTACCATGAAATATATCAGATGGGTTTTTTCCTATAAAAACTTTTCACCGGAAAGCCCCATGTTTTTTCAATGGGAAAACAACGATGGTTTCCGGTTAAGATTTGGATCATATCTTGGGGGTCACCGGGGTCACCTACGACATGACCCCCACATGTCACACCCACGGCTGGTCCGACTTCAGCAACCAGCGCAGTTGTCTACATCCATTTTGAACCCCCAAAGCTGGGAAGATGAACATCTCTATACCCGGCCTGGTAAACGTTAACAAAAAACTATGGAAACCCTCTGGTAAACGTTAACATAACTATGGAAAATCACCATTTTGAATGGGAAAGAGGGTAGTTTCTATGCATTGATTCATACGATTTTGCGAAATCCGAATCACCAGTTGAGAGACCGAATTGTTAGTCATAACCAGATGGTATAGATCATCATTTTCCCAATTATTTTCCCATTCTATCCCATTATACCACTAGTTTTGATGGTTGATACTATACCATAGCTGTTAGTCATAGCCAGATGCTATACCCTCCAGTAAATTAACAGTTCGACCCTGCCAGTCATCGGGGTTGGAAGATGAGTTTCCATGAAAAATTATGGTTATTTTCAGGGTCAACAAGTTAATTTACCAGAGTTATAAGTTGGTTTAGATTCGCCCCAGTAACTATAGTTATAAGTATCATAAACCATAGTGAAATTGGAGTTATGTTCACCAACTGAACGCTATCCAACGGGGGCCCCACTTTGTATCCGCCAGGGAAGTCTTCCCCAGGGAACGATCTCTCAGATCCAGATGGGATTCATGGCTACCCGGCCTGGTTTCTACGTTAACAAAAAACCAACTGGAAAGATTCACCATGCTATTAATGCTGGGTAAATCCATGTAAATCCACTATTTCAACTGGGCATAACTGGGCCATGTTCCAAAAAGCGATGTGAAATTTTACCTTATGGAAAGATTCATCATGCTATGTAGCTGGGTAAATCAACTATTTCAACTGGGCCATTTTCTATGTCGCAAACTGTTTGTTTACCAGAGGGTATATACTAGGTATATATTGATAATCCCCCAACTAATCATCAATCATCGTTTATCAGTTATATCATGTTATATCCACTAAAAAACACTAAATCACCAACATGTAACAGTTTACCAGGCCGGGTATATTCTGCAATCACCTGGTAACTCTCCATCGAACATCCCGCTTCTGTTCTCCCAAGATCTCCTGAGATTTTTTCTCTCGTAGAGCCAGCAGAAAAGTATGTAAAACCAGCAGGGAAGATAGAAAAATCTTCCAGTTTCTGGTTTCCCATATATATATATACAATATATGATTATAGTATAGTATAGTGCACTTGATCTGGTGAAAACCAAATCTTCCAGTTTCTGATTTCACTTAACTTATGTAATGTCGCCCCATTGAGCAAGGTTGAACCCCCGGCCCTGCATTCCCAAGCTGCTTATCAAAAGCATCATGCAGGGCATGGAGGACCTTGCAGAGTGCCACCAGATTCACTCGCTGTGGGTCAAAAAATGCTGAAAGACATGGGAAAATGAGGAGAAACCATGGGATGAACCCTGGGATGAAATGCCAACTACAGAAAATCTACTACCCTCTGGTAAACAAAGAGTTTGCTACTGAAAATGGCCATAGAAATAGTTGATTTACCAATAAAAAATGGTGATTTTCCATAGGTATGTAAACGTTTACCAGAGGGTAATAGGTTTTGGGAATGTGTTTAAAAGTGTAATCAGAGGGACATAAGCATGGAAATGGGGTTGATGATATACATTGCCAGCGATACCTGTTCTTTTCGTGCACCAAAAGGAATGAAAAAAAAGTCTACTAATTTATAGAATTTTATAGACTACATACCTATAGTATCCTATAGTATCCTATAGTATCCTATAGTATCCTATAGTATCCTATAGTATCCTATAGTATCCTATAGTATTCTATAGTATCCTATAGTTATTTATGAAGCTAGCTATAATCCACATGACGATAGCTGGGACCCATCCACCAGGAAATACCTCGAGTTTTCCTTATATCTGGGTCCATGTTCGTCATGTTCCGGTTGTGTTTGGATTGGAAAAAATGCAACACACAGTGGCAATCGAAAATCATCCATTTATACAATGTGAGACCCCCCAGATAGCTAAGTTGGTTTAGATTCGCCCCAGTAACTATAGTTATCTATAGTTATATCTACCATAAACCATAGTTAAGCCATTTATAAACCAACTGAACGCTATCTTGGGGGCCCCATCCTGTATTGTAAACCATAAACCAGTTCGTGAAATTGGAGTTATGTGAACCCCAACTGAACGCGTTCTCGTGGCCGGGGGCATTGCCCACTAATTGTAGATGATCTTCAAGGAGCTTCTGAAACCTCCATTTTTTGGTGATTTTTGCCCAGTTCGTTCCAAGATCCATTCGGGGGTGACTAATAGTCATGGAGATATCCCAATAGCTGGATGGTCAAGATATATATAGAAAAATATAGAAAATTCCAATCTAAAATGGATGATTTTTTGGGGGACCCCCATGTTGTGGGAAACCCCCATTTGTTTGAAGTACCAGTGAGATATCTTGCAGTTTTTTCCCCAAGGATCCACTGGGGTTCTGAGTAGGAAACAACCAGGCGATGAGCCGTTGGCAACTGAATACTCCACACATTGTCAGAAGGGGGATATACCAAGTCACTCTGCAATGCCCCTAAGCAATGTGTTCGAGTACTTAATACATCTTACTACTTCCTGAATATTACTAATACCAGATGAGATTGCTGAGTGACACTGGTACTACCAGTACTGTCACTTAGCAATTGCTTCGTCATCTAACTCAGGTTCCAAAAAATCCACGGCTTTTCAAAGACTTCGATGGCATACTCTCTGGTAATTTAACATAGCTATTGAAAATGGCCATAGAAATAGTGAGTTTACCCATTAAAAATGGTGATTTTCCCTAGTTTTTTGTATGTTTACCAGAGGGTAGGTCCTGATCCTGACACTCATTCAGCAACAAAGTTACGACCACAATTGCCCACGTGACATCGGCGGGGACGGTCATGGTGAACTCAAATGTTCGGTCACCGAAATGGAGGGTCGAAACCAGATATCCCAGCAGTATCCTGAATGAAATTCTGGGATTTTCGACGGTTGAAAAACGACAATTTTGTATTTAAGTGAAAGAACAATGAATTCTCCTCCCAATTTTGTAAAACAATAAATCTAAATCATAAATCCATATAAATCCCAATATTCTTACCAAAAAATCTTTGTGTTTTTCCCTGATGGAAAGCCTGACTGGGTGGTGAACTACCCACGAATCGTAAGTAGATTCACCCCAGGTTTTCAGTGGATTAACCCTACTTATCCCACTGGATTATATAACTGGGCTTATATTCCACTAACTGGGATGAGCCACCAAGTACAATGTGAGGCCCCCAAACGTGATGGGAATGTTGGTCAACAGATTCGCCCCAGTAACTAGTTCGTTATTTGCGTACCATAAAGCAGTTCGTGAAATTGGAGTTTAACTTATGTGAACCCCAACTGAACGCTATCAGTTATGTTTGTTGGTTTATAAGCCCCAGTAACTATAGTTATAAGTACCATAAGCCATAGTGAAATTGGAGTTATGTGAACCCCAACTTAGCTATCCAACGGGGGCCAACCACATTGTAGGCTTTATGGATCTCCAGGCGCGGCGCCGGTGAACCGCTCCCGGTGAACCGCGTTCGCGTCGCACCTCAGTCCCGAGTCCGGAGCCGGTTCCGCCACCGAAGGAATGAAAGACGAAGAATCCTCCGCGGTCGGATCCACCGAAGGATCCAACGGTGAAAAGCGAAATGGTCGGTTGATGGTCAAAATTGTGATTTCCCTGTGAAAAATGGTGATTTACATGGTAAACATACAAAAAGCTATTGAAAATGGCCATTTATAGTTGATTTACCCATTAATAGCACGGTGATTTTCCATAGTCATGTAAATGTTTACCAGAGGGTAGGTGAAAAAACACCAAACAAAAAAAAGGATATGGGGCCCCCAAGAGATAGCGTGAACAGTTGGGGTTCACATAAATGGCTGAATGAACTATGGTTTATGGTGGATATAACTATAGATAACTATGGTGAATGGGGTTTATAAACCAACAAACATCACTGGGGGGGCCCATCCTGTAGGGAAATTATAGGTTTAACCACCAAACAACAGGAAAATGATGTTGGAAATGATGTTGGGTTTACCATTTTTTCACATCTTCTCACCAACTAAAGTGAAGTTGTTTCATGAATAATTTTGATACTTGGGGTGTAGAATCATGGGATGCTTTTAATGGATATAAAAACTACAACTATGGTGAAATACCTACAACCTCCGGATGTGCAAAATCATCACTAAGTTGAAATTGCGTTTTTTAATTGCGGTTCGCCGAAAAATCGTTTATCTCTTTAATTTTTGCTCTCTCATGTTCTTCCTAATTCTGTCATGATGTGAAATGGTTGGCTACCTGGCAGCCTTCACCAACTGAGAGATCAAGTGACAAACACAGAAATCCATGACTCATTGCCTCACTTCGGAAGAAACATCTTAAACTCAAATGAGCCTCACTAGTCAAAACGGACTCGTGAAAGAGAAATCATATACCTCCCCAGAATGTTGCAGAGACTTGGCCTTTCCATACCTTGGAATGAACAAAAACGCAAATCCGAGCAGGTTTTGTTGTCGCTTGGCATCTGCCCTGTCCATTCAATCTGTCCATTCAATCTGTCAGGCATCTGAGCTTCAGGATCAATACCTTGCAACCAAAAAAACGCCGTTTCGCCGGCAAATTACACTGGTTCGTGCCCTTGCACAAAAATCTAAGGATAGGCTGCCCAATATAAGAGATTCAGAGTACCCTCTGGTTATTTAACATAGCCATGGAAGCCATGGCCCATTTATAGATGATTTTCCCAGCTATAAACCTCCATTTATAAGGGATTTTCCATGGCGAACTGTTAAATAATAACCAGATGGTATTTCATTGTTTCATAGATGCCCTACTTTGTCCAAATTGCCCGTCCAATTGCTGCGAGTTGGATATGAAAGGGACGCCAAAAAGCAGAACTCGCCAAATGGGCTTCCCTGAGATGACCTTGCGCCCTGTAAATGGCATGTACTAACCGTTACTAACCTCAAGAGTGTATCATATTCTTTGCTTGCACTTGATGGATCTTGATGGCAATTTGTTTCAAAGTGATTTTTTATTATCATGTCTGGTTGGTGGTTTCAACCTACCCCTCTGAAAAATATGAGTTCGTCAGATTGGGATTATCCTTCCCAATATATGGAAAAATAGATTGGATCATCATCCCAACTATTGGGGAAAATAAAATTCATGTTCCAAACCTCCAACCAGATTTTGTACTGAAAACCAGTCCCTGTGTGACACTTTTTTTAGGACTGTGGGACCATGACAGATGGAAAAAAAGGCCGAACAAAGACCATCTAGAAGGTTCAAAAAAAAAAAATGTTCGAAGTCAAAAAAATGCGGTACCCTCTGGTAAATTAACATAGCTATTGAAAATTGCCATTTAGTTCGTTGATTTACTTATTAATAGCATGGTTTCCATAGTTATGTAAACGTTTACCAGAGGGTAGTACCCAAAAAACACTTCCTAAGGAGGTACTTGGGATCCATAGGGCATATATATATATATATCATTATATTATACAACAAAAACGTGTGTTGTTTCCCAAAAGCCAGAGAAATTCATCACACCTTTTTTTCGGATGCTGGAACTCCATCCCCCCATTCTTTATATCGCCAGGTCGTTGAGGAGGGTCGAAGGTGGCAAAACCATCATCCCATGATTCACCCGGGTTTTGGGAGATATCACCAGATACCCTCTGGTAAACGTTTACATAACTATGGAAAATCACCATTTTTCATGGGAAAATTCACTATAAATGGTGATGTTCCATAGTTATGTTGAATTACCAGAGGGTATCACCAGATATCATGAGATATCATGATTTCACTTATTGCTCAAAAATCTCCCAAATGATCATCAGAATCTCGGTAAAAATTATGGTAAATTAACATATTTCGCCAGCTTCGGCGATGAGTCACACGTATCTTAAACCATGATGATCAAGTTTACCCAGAAGAATGCTTGAAAATCAACTGGTTGGTGGTTGACCTACCCCTCTGAAAAATATTTGAGTTCGTCAGTTGGGATATAAAAACATTCCCAACTGTTTCTGGAAAGTCATAATCCATTCAAGTTCCAGTCACCACCAGTCATTATTGTTGTTATATAGCCATGAACTATTGCCATTTTAGATCATTTTAGATCATTTTAGATCATTTTAGATCATTTTAGATCATTTTAGATCATTTTAGATGGTTAAAATGTGGTTAAACCATGTTAAACCGCCATCATTCACCAGGTGATTTCCATCCACAGCACCGAACGCACCGCACCTTGGAGGTTTCCACAAAGATCCACCGTCAATCGAATGCGGTCCATGACATCTTCTTTGATCCTGGGCGGCGGGGCGGGGCGGCAACGGGGCGAATGCCGTGCGAAAAAATAGGGGACCTTCAGGGAGCACCCGGATGCATTGGATAAAAATCCGGGAAGAATTGAGATTGAGATTTCGATTTTTAAGCAACAGGTGTTTTAGGTGACATGCAAAAAAATGGTGGTAACCAAAAAATGTGGATGGTTTATAGATTCATGATAGGTGTGTGTTGGCAAACATAAATACAATTGTTGGATTTTTGATGCCATGATCATTTCAATTGGATCTGAAATGATGCAACTCGTACCTTGGTGAACATCCATGGCTGGCAAATGGCACAATCATTCTTTCCAATCACCATTTTTACTAGGTAAATCAACCATAAATGACCATTTTCAATAGCTATGTTAGGAAAATGGCCCAGTTCTAGTTGATTTACCTATTAGTGGTGATGTTAAATAGCTCTGTCACAAATTACCGGTATTTTGAACTTGGACGGAGCTGTTCAAAAGCTTGGAAACCCTCGTTTTGTGGAGTAAATGCTGATCATGAAGCGTGGCAGGCTGATTTTTCATGGCATGCGCATTTTTTTTAGATACTTCGATGAATAAGTGCGGAAAAATCACCTCAAAAAGACACATCTGGTTGGTGGTATACCTACCCCCCGAAAAATATGAGTTCGTCGGTTGGGATGATGATTAGTCCCAACTGTTTCTGGAAAGTCATAATCCATTCATGTTCCCAAAGATATTAGTCAGTTGGGATGTTTCATGGCGCTCATGGCGCTCCAACAAAAAAATGCTCCGGTGAAGTTCTCAAGTGGGGTCCCAACTGTGTACAGTACGGCCATTCTTAACGACTTAGATACGCCCAAAAAACGTCGTTAAGATCGTTGATATGAGTCACCATCATAAAGGGCCTTGAAATACGTTGGATCCCCACGTCACCGGCTAAAAACTGGTCATCCATGACATGATTTGGGGTGCCAACCCAGTCGATTGAACGGCAAGCGGCTTGAATCCCGCATCACTGGCCATGTGGCGGCCCTCAAAAAAGATGTTCTTGCAATCTTGCCTCAGCGAAGATTGTGCACCAAGAATCGTTTTTTTGAACCCAAATGCGTGGCGAATACGTGGCTAAATGACTATCTGAGTTCAGCTTATTGATCTATTTAGCGATACATAATATACATATATACTATATATGTGTATATATATATATGCTATAGATATGTGGATATATGTCTAATTGCATGTGAATATTATATATATAATGTATGGAATATCACCAGTTATGTATGGGCCCTGTATAGATTATTTATGAATGAGCCAAAATAACCTATATCGGATGTACATCCAAGTAGCCTGCTGGTCCTGCTGAATCAGGGGAAAGATCGCATTCAAAATGAAGTGAGTTTATAAAGCGCGTCTATTTGCTGGTTGGTGGTGCAATAACCATGGTTAATAGTGATTAATAGTGGTTTATAGTGGTTATTAGTGATTAATACCTGATCTAATGAATAATATATCTGGTTGGTGGTGCAATGTGCCCATCTTGAAAAATGATGGAGTACGTCAATGGGAAGGATTCTCCCATATATAATGGAAAATAAAAAATGGTTGAAACCACCAACCACTTTGCAACGGAAATTCAATGGACAATGAACATAAACTGTTTATCTGCTTGGTGCTTTAGCTACCCCCCCGAAACACATGAGAGTCAGGGCTCTGGCCAGTGCGACTTAAAGGTGGTTCTAGGAGCCCCAAAATTCGATGAAAAACAACTTAGAACTGTTGAATGTTTTGATTTTCAAAAAAACATGCTTGCTACACTCCTGAAAAGTAATGTGAAATCGTTATTCACGGTCAGTCTTGTTTCACAACATACCCTCTGGTAATTTAACATAGCTATGGAAAATGGTCCATTTATAGTGGATTTACCCATTGAAAGTCATGTTCAATAGCTATGTTAGTTTACCAGAGGGTAGGTGATCCCTTTTTAACATGCGTTTCTCTCTTGACGAATGAAGCAGGGTGAAGTTTCATCACTTTTCCATGATCATCCCAGTGGTTTATATTCCTGGTGAGCAAATCGACTCTAAGTGGCTTATCCATGCTTATCCCATGTTACAAATATATACTGGTTGGTGGTTGAGCCCTACCCCCCTGAAAAATGATGGAGTTCGTCAGATTGGATCATCATCCCATTGGGGAAAATAAAATTCATGTTCCAAACCAACCAACCAGTATATATATATATATATATATTATATAGTTATATAGATATAGAAACTATAAATATCTATATATGTATATATATAGTTATATAGTTATATAGATGTTTACTAACCCCACTTACCTTCACCACTTTGGATTTCTTGATCCAAGCACCATCACCATCCACAGTTCGCCAAGCATCTTGTAGCCCAAGATGGACTCGGGATGAAATAAATCGCGGTTGTTCCCCGTGAGCATTTCCTTGTTTTCCATCGCGGAATGTTGAGGAAAAAATGTCCTCTGGAAAATCTATGGCAGAATCTATAGTTCAATAGATCCAATATACTATCCATGTATGGAAAAAAAGATGGCCTTTGTAGAATCTATAGTTCAAGAGTGATTCAATTTATCTTTGATATATATGGTGCTTCCGAATATTTAGCACTGACCCACGGAGCAACTGGGAGTAAAAATGATGATTTACCACAGTTCTCACTGGGAATCTATGAGAAAATGCTGGAGAAAATCTGTGGATTTGGGTGGATTTTGGGGATTTTTTTTGGGATCATCTGCAGGAAACTGGACTGGGTCCCAAAAAAACATGTGGGTGTCCTGGGTTCCCTGATTTTTTTTACCAATCCAATGAATCCCCCTCCAGTAAACGTTTATGGAAAATCACCATGTTATAGCTGGGTAAACCAACGAACTAAATGGGCAATTTTCAATAGCTTTTTGTATGTTTACCATATAAATCACCATTTTTCACAGGGAAATCAGAGGGTAATTTTTGTTAAAAAAAAAAAAAACCTATCCTTAAGCAAAGTCAAGTGTCGTTGCGCGTCGAGGGATCCGTATCCACGAACACAGCTCGGGGTACATACTGCGGGCTGGCCGCATGCGTATCCGAGAAGAAGGATCCTGGGATCCCCGGCTGGGTTTCCGCCGCTGGGATCTCTGGCTGATGGGGATACCCTCTGGTAAACATACAAAAAACTATGGAAAATCACCATTTTTCATGGGAAAATTCACTATAAATGGTGATTCTCAATAGCTATGTTAAATTACCAGAGTGTACATCGAATTACAATCATTGGGGATGTAGATGGACTGTAGTACCAGTTGTTTTTTCGGGGGGGTGTAATGGGATTCTACTTCCGATATAAAAATGTGTAAATTTATGGTATATGGGATAGATTCATAGGATATATAGATATATTTAGTACTAATGGGATATCAGCCATCCTTGGGGATATCTACTCAGTTATAATGATCCTTCAGGTCCATCCAACCCATTTCTGATGGGAAAAAAAACAACCATGGTTTTCCTGTAAACTTTCCCTCAAAAAAAAAACATGGTGGATGGATCAAGACTTCAAGCAACCACTCTGAAAAATGGTGATGTTCACCCCCAGATCTAGTTCGATATTACCTACCAGCCCTAAAAATCGTAGAAGGTGAGGCCACCATACGTAAGGTTTGTTGCTTTGTAAAGCCCATGAACTAGTTCGTTACCCTCTGGTAAATTAACATAGACCCTGGCAGATAGGGGTTGGAAGACTAGTTTCCATTAAAAATAGGTGATTTTCAGGGTCTATGTTTATTTACCAGAGGGTATATCCCAACCATAAACCATAGGATTCACCAGCTGATCTTCACCAACTGAGCTATCATTTGCGGGACCTCTTGTGGATATGATCGCACCAAAAATCCCCATTTTAGATTCTGGGTAAATTATAATATTTCACTAACCTGAATTAAGGCCATTTGGGGATGATTCCCCTTACTAACCATGATTTCCAGTGAGGGAGGACAGTGAGGTCGCTATAATTTACCCAGTTAGATGCTTCAATCCCTTGAAAAATCCCATATTTCAGGATGGCAACAAAAATCCTAATCCCTACTCCAAAAATCCGTCCAAAATCCCAATGTTTCTTGCTTCAACAGCCATCCACCCTCTGGTAAGTTGTTACAGTTTGCTATTGAAAATAGCTGTTTAGTTCGTTGATTTACCTATTAAAAATGGTGACTTTCAATAGCAAACTGTTAGTTTGCCAGGTGGTATCCCATTTATATATATATATTATCCCTACATATCAACAATGGGCTGGTTTTCCTATATATCCCTATATATCCCTATATATCCCTATATATCCCTATAGATATCCCATTATATGTAGGGTATATACTGGAATGTATGGGATTTACATACTAATGGGATTTAATGGGATTTAATAAACAATGAAATATCATGATCATAGGTGAACCATTAATGGTGAATATCATGGTAAACCATCATTAATCAATAACCATGATCAACCATTAATCATTAACCATTAACCATCGCTTCAATAGCCATCTTTTTTTAACACTTTGCTGTTGAAAATTACCATTGAGTTCGTTGAAAAAAAAAACGCATTTTTTACATGGTGGATCTTTCCATCACTCTTTTTTTGCTTCATCCCATCGCCAGGCAGCTGAAGGTATTGTCTTCTTCCTCCTGCACGAGGCTCTTTGGCTTCTCCTCGCTACTCCTCGATGTTCGGAAGAAAGAGAGGACTGTTACTTCGAGGTACTGCCGGGGAAGTGGCAATCATGTAAGGGACTGCCGGGAAGGTGGTAATCATTAGTAATCATGATTTACAGTAATCAGCCACACTAGGTCATCTATCATACCCTCTGGTAAACTAACATAACTATGGAAAATCACCGTTGTCAATGGGAAAATCCATTATAAATGGGCCATTTTCATCCATTTTCTATGTCGCAAACTGTTAAATTACCAGGCCGGGTAATATACAGAAGCACCACGATTAGTACTCCTCGCCTCTGGTGAAGAACTAGCAGGTAGAATCCCAAGTAGGTTGTATATATACTGATTGGTGGTTTAATATAGAGGTTTTGAGCTGGGAAAATGTATGGTTTACTATGTGGTTAATGATGGTTAATAATAGGTTTACTATATGGTTAATGATGGTTAATAATCTGATTGGTGGTATACCTAATTGGTTAATTAATAAGTTCATAATAAGCCATAATAATAGTCCATTATATAATAAGCCATGGTGGATTAATAACCCATTATATATAATCCATAATAATCCCTATTACTGATTGGTGGTATACCTACCCCTCTGAAAAATGATGGAGTTCGTCAGTTGGGATTATGACATTCCCAACTGAATGGAAAGTCATAAAAAATGTTCCAATCCACCAACCATTATATATATATATTAATATCCCTGGTTCATCAGCAACACTTCGGAATTGTTGAATTGAAAAATTGATAAAAATGGTGAGAATGGATGATCGCTACCCTCTGGTAAACGTTTACGTAACTATGGAAAATCACCATGCTATGTAGCTGGGTAAATCCACTATTTCTATGGCCATTTTCCAGTTCGCTTTTTGTATGTTTACCAGGCCGGGGAACTAAGACAACTGTTGGCTTTTTGGTGGAAACATCGAGCTAGTTAAATGGGTGAAACCAACAAACATTTCACTGGCAATCACTTTAGGAGGTTCACTCCAGTTTTTCATAGTGCTTGTGGCTAATAACTGTTTTACAAGACGATTTTATATGGAATATCCCCAGTGATATATGGGCTATTAGGCTATGCATGGATTATATATGGGATTAATCCGCATGTGACTTGTTCACATGTCTTAACCATTCACTGAGTGGGATGCACATCCAAGTATACTGGACCATTTAAAACGTGGTAAAACCAATGAAATGTTCCAGAGCTGTTTTGTTGCAATCAAATATGCATCTATCTGATTTTGACGATCAAATACCTCTGATATCTTGAAATCCAGACCTGGGAGTATGAGTATCCTTTGGTCATTGTACATAGCCATGTAGAAATATCCATGTGTAGATGTTATTTTCCTATTCAACCTGGCCGTTGGCCATGGCTATGTTAGTTTACCGAACGATATAACCCCTCCCCCTATTACTAAACGTATCCCAAATACGTATCAAAGACATTAAAAAATAGGGTCCGTTGTCAATTTTGGGAAATTTGCAGGTGGCCAATTTGATCTTTACCCTCTGGTAATTTAACATAGCTATTGAAAATGACCATTTATAATGGATTTACCCATTGAAAATGGTGATTTTCCATAGTTTTTTGTAAAACGTTGGCTAGAGGGTAATTGATCCCCTCTAGAATGACCAGTTAAAATGAAGGTCCCATGTCCCTGAGGGTTTCACCCCAAGAAAAACTCAACTGGTCAGCACTGGGGTGTGTTACGTTTCTTTAGGGTCCATCCTTTAAAATCAAACAGTTTAGTTGTTTTTTTATTATATACCCTCGGGTTATTTAACATAGCCATAAAAAATCCCAACCATAAATGGAGGTATCTAGCTGGGAAAATCTTCTATTTTTTTTTGTGCCATGGCTTCCATGGCTATGTTGAATAACCAGAGGGTAAGTGTTATAAGGTTCGAAATCCAATTTTTTGGCAATGATTATGATTAGATTCTAAAAAGGAATTTATATAGTCGATTTTCAAATAGAAAAAATCATTATATAGTTTTTGTTAATCAAGGTCTTAGATTTAGTATTAGGGGAAAGCTTGGAAATCCAATTTTTGGCAATATGTTAATTAGATTTTTAACAGGAATTTACAGTCTTGATTTGGAAAAAAGAGTATTTTTAATTAAGCGTTTTAATTCGGTAGGGGGAAGCTTCCAGCTTCGCAGCCTAGTACTTAGTTACTAAATACTCCCTAAGTTCAAAATGTCTTCCGGGTGTTAATAGGGCGGTTTAGTACTAGAGGATTCATGGGTGTTGGTCGCACTGGTGATCATGGCTTTGGCGGACAAAAAAAGTCACACACCGATTCCCCAAATTCAAATGCTGGAGAAACCGCTGGGATATGGTTTTTAAAAAAAGCTCAAGACCGTACCAGAACTGCCTTAGAAAACTTGGTTTGGTATTGAATTCTATTGAGAAGGAATGTAGGTATTGAGTTTTTTTAAGGCAATTCTATAGAAATTCTATGGGCGATTTCTATTGATTTCTTCTGCCCAAATCGGGAATTTTTCGGTATCGCGAGAAGAATCGCCAGAGAGCGGTTGGATGAAAATTAACATCTTAAAATACCACTGTCCTATTATCTACAATGTGGTGCCCCCAAGATAGCTAAGTTGGTTTACAACTCCAATAACTATGGTTTATGGTACCTATAACTATAGTTAATGGAGTTTATAAACCAACTTATAACTTGGGGGGCACCACCTTGTAGGTATCTAGGTCAATCTTGGATGAGTAGTTTAATCCTTTGGTCTTTTGGTATCAACGGGATGATCTATTAACCAGCTAAGAATTCAATCTTTTGCAGGGTATCTAAGATTGGCCATGCTATAATCTCCAGGACCCTCCGTTGAGACCATGCTACCACTCACCAAGAGAAATCCACAATGTCGTACCCATGATATCCCCATCGTGTAGTCGTGTAATTACCATGACCATGTCACGTCTTTGTTGATGTTTCTTGATCATTGATGAACTCCCCAAAACCTTACGTCTTAAGATATTTATATCACATTCAATATGAGGCCCCCGTTCGATAGCGTTCAGTTGGGGTTCACATAACTCCAATTTCACTATGGTTTATGGTACGCAAATAACGAACTAGTTACTGGGGCGAATCTGTTAACCAACAAACATCACAACGGGGGGCCTCACATTGTACTTGCTGGCTCATCCCAGTTAGTAAGTGAAATATAAGCCCAGTTATAAGTGGGATAAGTAGGCTTAATCCAGGTTAATCCACTGAAAAACCTGGGCTGAATCTACTTACTATTCGTGGGGTCATGGTGTCAAAGCCAGCCTAAGGGCCACCCTGGTGACGTCCATTCAGAACCCCGAAAAATGGCGCTCATCGAATGGAGAGTCGTCCCAAAATAAAAATCGCACAAGTCACGTTTTTCATATACCCGGCCTGGTAATTTAACATAGCGAACTGGGACATCACCATTTTTATCATTTTTAATGGGAAAACTCACTCTAAAAGGCCATTTTCAATAGCTTTTTGTATATTTACCAGAGGGTTATCCAAAGCCATTAAAAATACCCATTGTATCACAGAAAAAATATCCCATTACATCCCCATGTAATATAGATTAATATCCCATGATATCCCCATTTGCGGATTAATATCTCCATTATATCCCCATGATATAGATTATATCCCTATTAATATCCCATTATATCCCATAAGATTAATATCCCCAAACCCATCTTCTCATTGTTTTTTTACGTATGAAATCCTATCACTTTTTATTGGTCACATCATCTCCCCACTTCGATGAAAATTTTACCAAAGTTCGGCCGCGTGCGGCGCCCGTGCTGGTCGATGTTGTGCTCTTTGCAGAAGAGCTCCCAGACATCCTCGCCGATGTTACATCCTGCCGGGATGAGGGCGGGGCAACACATCTTTAGCCAACTACTTGGATGTGCATCGCACAAATCGTACATGGTGTAATTATAGTCCATATATAAGTGATGATATAAGCCATATAATCCCATATATAAGTGGGGATATTCGGTATATTATGGCCAATCTTAGATACCCTGCAAAAAATGACAAAATCTGGCAGCTGGTGAACATAGATAATCCCGTACCAAAAGACTAGTTAGGATTAGTTTGTACCCATCCAAGATTGACCTTGGTGACATTTTGTAAGTCCAATTTCACGTCTGGGTTGATTAGGGGAACATAAACAGTTAAAGTATCGAAACCAACTGATGGGGAAACATTCAGTTAATAAATTTCCCTATTTGTTAACATTAATGGACTGTAATAAATTTCCCTATCTACTGTTTGATCATAAACCAACTGAGATCCGAATGGAAAATGGTACAAAATAATGCAGAAATCCATGGAAAAAATCGAGGAAACCAATCATCCTGATGGGGATGTGACTGAGATCCGATGGAAAATCATGGAACAGAAATCAGGGGGAAATCCATGGAAAAAAAAACATTGGAAAATCCATGGAAGAACGGGAAGATCAGGTGAATTAGATAATTTTACTTGATAAAATTATATAACTTGTCTATAATCTATAAATATTTATAAATCATCTTTAAATCTTGCTGCGCCGTGATGTAGAAATGGCAAGCCGTTTTTTTGGGGGGGCGATCTAAGATGATATAACTTCACCTAATATCCCACTTGGAAAGGACAGAAACAAACCACCACTTACGTTGTGGTGTATTTCAGTAGTTTGTCACAATTGGATTATCTTCGGTCACAGCTCAGTAGGTTGTCAGTATCAGTAGATGATTTATAGTAGATTTGATATATATATATACATATTATTGTATTATAATATGTATATATGTGTATATATGTGTATGTATATATATATATCGAACTAGTGTTCATAACATGTTTTTCAGGTGAACCCAAATCCACACCCAGGATGTTTCGTGCGAGCGAGCACCGAGCTCACTCAGCACTTGGGCAGCACCAGGGAAGCACCATGGATTGATGGTTGGAATCGAATAAACATGGTAAACCAATGTACCCGGCCTGGTAAACCATAGAATTTTGATGAGAACATCACTATTTTTAATGGTAAATCACCGTTTTTAATGGGAACATCACTATTTTTAATGGGTAATTTAACATAGCTATTGAAAATGACCATTTAATTATAGTGGATTTTCCCAGCTAGAACATGGTGATTTTCCATGGCGAACTGTTAAATAACCAGATGGCGAAACCTACAGGATGGGGCCCCCAAGATAGCGTTCAGTTGCCTTATAAGTGGCTGAAAACTATGGTTTATGGTAGATATAACGAACTAGTTACTAGTTCATGGGGGTTATTTCATGGTTTATAAACCAACATTCACATCACTGGGGGGGCCCCATCCTGTAGGGGATGGTGGAACCTCTTGCTATACAATACTGGTTGGTGGTGCAATGTGCCCATCTTGAAAAATATGAAAGTCAATGGGAAGGATGACATCCCATATATCAATGGGAAAATAGAAAATTCATGGTTCCAGTCACCACCAATCAGAATAATACTTGGAGAAAGTCTCCCCATACCCTCAGATACGCTCTGGAGGCTTAGAGGAAATCATCGAGGCATGGCTTCCATCGCAAGGAGTAACTTTTTTTACCCAATGATCTTTTTGGAGGTGTCCATCCAGTCATAAAGGTACCCCCAGTCTCGTCCATCCACCACTTTTCAGGGATTTTCCATGAAAACAATCCTCCAGTTATTCAATGGGAATTCCAGGATCCAAAAATGGAGGTACGTTAGTACCATATTTCTGGCCATATTTTGTGGCGATATTCCCTGAAACTTAGGCCTAGAAAATAGGCCTTATACATGGAACCGGTACCTCCAATCAATCGGTTCCTAAAATGGCCATTGAGTTCTTGAGGAATCTCCAGGGGAAAACCCCCTGGAGGGTCCCATGTTGATGGGTGGTTGAAAACCCCAACTCCAACCGTGGTAGTCACGCCCATGGGATGTCCAGATGGGATGGGATTTAAAGCTCCAACCGGACTCATTTCCGTTGTAAATTGCACGAAACATATGAAAAACACAAGCACTTAGCTTGTAGATAGTAACAATTTAGTAACCCCAAAAAAATAGAATCCATCACTATTCTAAAGTGGAAGACTTCACTGTGATACTTTTCATCTTTTTGGGGTGGTGCTATAATTGCAGCCATAGAGTTAATTAACTGGTGAGGAACTGGCTTACAAGCATTGAAATATACCCAGCTATAGATCTTCACTCATTCCATGTCCCATCTAAGTATATTCTATAGATTACATGGCTATTAGTGGTAAAAAACTCTGGCATTATGGTAAGAAGCCTCCAAAAAAAACTGGATATCATCACTACAACTATGGTTTTATATCACCCACCATAGGCACACTGCACCCCCAACCATGGTGTCCTGCTTGGCCAATGCACAGTGTGATGCACTCTCCATTCGACGGCATAGCGACTCAACGACTTCGACGGCCGGTGCCGAAAAAAAAAGCAGCGCAGCGTTGCGGGGTTCAAAAGACAAGGACATCTCGGCAAAATCTGGACACAGTAGGGGAATAAGCTAACAACAAATCTATATGTATATATATATATATACAAATAAATGTACATATAATTATTATATTAATATATATATATATATAATATTATATAATATATATATATTATATATATAATATTAATCAATATTATATATATACATTGACATGTTGACCAAAGGTAGTTCGGTTAGGTCGCCCGGTGCACTCTCTACAAATCTCACCGAAAACTGTGATCTTTTCGGGACATGGCAAGGCATCCTACACCTGAGCAGTGCTCAAAAGCATTCCCAATGGCTGGATAGCCTCTGGTAAACATAGAAAAAGCTATGAAAAACCAGAGGGTAGATCTGGATCATACAGATTCCATCGGATTCCCAGTTTACGGACGATGATCATCCCCAATATCGGATAGATCGGATAGATCAGATCCCCAAAATCATCAACGGCGGCTGCTAGAGAGCCACTTGGTGGGTTTTTGGGCGAGATACAATGACTGCCTGACTGCAGTGCACGCAATTTTTCCAACATCCGCAACAAACCTTCTCGACACTAAACGTGAAACCTACTCCTTCGAGGGGAGAAGAACAGTGGCATCGGCCCCGTTTTGTATCACTCTACTGGCAGCAAGCTTAGAAACGAGATCGTGCTTCAGCAATAATTCTCTGCTCTTCTGAAGGATACTCTGGGAAAAATACATATCTTTGTTTGCGATATCATCAATTATCCATTCATGGTACCGAGTTCAGAGGGTTCATTGTCATTTGAATTCATGTTCTACCTACCATCTGTGTGCTTTTGTTGATTTAAATCCCTATTGAAATTCCCATGTAGCTGGTCGAACTGGTTAAGTCCCATGTTGAGTTGCAAAGCATCCGATTTTGCAGGGTTAACAATATCGAATATCGACCGGCTATCCAAAAACTGCTACTAGGGACCCATTATCGAGATTTACGAACCCATTTTCGGTGCGTTCAACGCCATATTTATTCTGAACTGGGATTGGATTCAGCCAGTAATGTTGGTTAATTAAATGTGATGTTCATCTGGACGCTTTAGCACTTTGGGTGTTGTTGTTTAAGTATAGATGGGTGCGACCGAAAAGAAATGAAGATCCAACAAATCCAACATGATCAAGCTAACATAATTTACCAAAACGATAGAACTGCAATTTACCATAATTTGCAAATACTTCAGTAGATTCTTACTACTGTTACTGTATCTTTTCTGGTGGTATCATCTAAATCTATCCAGAAATCCGGGCTTACGATCATGGGAACCTCAAATAAAAGCCCCGAACCACAGCGACCACCTCATGAAGGCGTTCGGAAAAGCGAAAGCCAAACGTGCGTGATTTGTTTACCAGAAATCATGGTGCATGTTTTCCCAAAGGTGTTGAATCAACACTGATAAATATCAACTAACCCTTCCCAAAAAACTATGTCAAATCAATATTGATATACATATAAACCCTGTATTTGAAACTATTTTTCTTGGACCAATCTTGGAAGTGTCGATATCTAATTAGCTACAATTTTGAGATCCAGCTAATTAGCTGAAAAATTGAGATTCAAAAGTTCGCAAAAGTTTTTTTTGAAATTGCCCAAACCAAAAATTTGGTCTGAAAAATGCGTTGAATACGCCCAAAAAATAATCCAGGACTGGTTGGTGGTTGACCTACCCCTCTGAAAAATATGAGTGAAAGTCAGTTGGGATGATGACATTCCCAACTGAATGGAAAGTCTAATCAAATTCCATGGTTCCAGTCACCACCAACCAGATAAAAATGTAGCGTTTCTGGTGTACAGCCGCAGAAATTCATGTCTATGTCCAAGCTTGCTGATGAAATGTAGATTGTCGGGCACCACATTAAAATTTCCTCGCAATTGATCAATCCGGAGTCTCTCCAAAATACTGAGTTAATCAAGTGGTGAAGGCAGCAAATTCTAGACCCAAATGGGTGTGTGTGAAAATAGTGTACCCCAAACCCAATGGTTAATGATCATTATCCCTATTAAATGGCTACAATTGGGAATATACCCTATTTTCAGACAAACCCAAATCTAGAGAATATGTCTCAAAATTGTCCAATGTTCGACCAATTCTGGAATTCTCTGTCCCAGTCGAAACAAGAGGTCCCTTTTCTCATTAAAATTGCAACCTCCCAGATGACCCAAGTTAGTCACCAATTTTTCCAAAAACTCGAGTGTGAGCGTGGTGATTGGTGGTGTCAACCCAAAAAGCAACAAACCTGATTAAAGGTTCTCACCACCCATCACAAAAACAACATACTGTGGATGGAAGAAATCCTGCACCAGTTGGTAAATGGATTTTCCCATTCTAATCCCATTATTTACAGTGTTTCATAGGTACCTTTCATAGTTCCCAACTGGTGCAGGATTTCGCAACCATCCACAGTATGTTTGAATTCCAGAAGGCATTTGGAAGTTCATGGCTTTAAGTATTACCCTTCTGAAAACATGACCAGAAAAAAAAAAAACATCCTTTGTAGATCATTGTTAAGGGAAACCAGATTGCCAGTTTAGATCACCCACAATTGCCAGTTTAGATCACTGTGCGATATATTTTCCTTCTAGCACTGGTTCTGAAGGATTTGTTTGTTGCAAATCCAGTTTTGATTTTCGTCGCATGGTTGAAATGTTCATGAAAATATATACCATGTCTAGGTTCGTCGTCAGTTTTTGGGATGTCTTGAGATTAGTTCACCATAGTTCAGTACCAACATCACCATATTTGCACTATATACCCTCTGGTATTTTAACAGTTTGCTATTGAAAATGGCCCATTTGGTTCGTGGATTTTCCCATTGATAGCATGGTGGATCTTTCCATCGTTTTTTGTAAACGTTTACCAGGCCGGGTACACTTTGTCCAAGACATTTCCATGATTCAGATGACAAATCAATGGTCATTTCAGGAACCTAAAATGGAGGTACTGTACCATATAAGGCCATATTTTGTGGGGATATTCCCTTACATTGCCCTAAAAAATAGGCCTTATACAAGGTAGGTACCTCCAATTTAGGATCCTGAAATTCCCATTGAAAGGTTTGAGATGTAGATCCATCACTTTGGATCCAACGCACATTTTTTCTCTTCAATCAAGCCACCTGTGTTGCTTGATATTCTCAATGGATTGGTTTAAGGGAAAATCTACAGGAAACCATAGATTTTCCCATTAAATATGGGGTGTTCCTGTAAATTGTCCCTTAAACCAATTCATTGATATTCTGCTTGGTGGTGCAATTTCACAATCTTGAAAAATTATGGAGTTCGTCAATGGGTTTCGGATGACATCCCATATATGATGGAACATAAAAATTGCATGGTTTGAAACCACCAACCAGTATTGATGTTGTTTTTTAATTCTCCATGTGTACTGTTCATGTGGGCATGGGTCGGACTTGGGTTGACTTGGGTTCAACACTGGTCCTTCGGTTTCACCCCAAAGATTGTCAACCAGTCAATGGTCATTTCAGGAACCTAAAATGGAGGTACGTTAGTACCATATGTTTGGCCATATTTTGTGGGGATATTCCCTGAAACTTAGGCCTAAAAAATAGGCCTTATACAAGGTAGGTACCTCCAATTTAGGATCCTGGAATGGCCATTGAACCAGTGGGGTTAAAAAATGTTTCGTAACTCTTACGAAGCCTGCTTGAAACCATAGGATAACCCCAAAGTGGGAACCCGGTCCATGGATTCTATGATCAATACATATAAAATACGAATCTACTGGTTGGTGGTTGACCTACCCCTCTGGAAAACTCATATGAACATATGAGTTCGTCAGTTGGGATGATGACATTCCCAACTGAATGGAAATAAAATGTTCCAAACCATCAACCAGTTATGGATATTTATGGATATATCTATAGTTCGTGGGAATATCACCAACCAGAAAATCTATGAAAATCTGGTGACCCCGAAATGGATACAGCTGCGAAAAGTGCGACGACACCACTCCTCGGCTACGAGTAGCCACGCCTTCACCACGGACCGCGAGCATGGCAACATCCGTAGAAATTTAGGGATGTCATACAGAATGGGGCCCCCCAAGATAGCGTTCAGTTGGTTTATAAATGGCTGAATTCTATGGTTTATGGTAGATATATAACTATAGATAACTATGTAGATAACTCCATTAACCATAGTTATCTACATAGTTATCTATAACTATATCATGGAAATTGAGTGGTGGTTTCATAGGATTTCAATGATCTCCAAGGAGTCGGTTCCAACATCTTAAAAAAAAAACCATGGCATGGTAGCATTGCTACCCCCGGCCTGGTAAACATACAAAAAAACATGGAAAATCACCATTTTTCATGGGAAAATCCACATTTTCGATGGTTATGTCAACAGTTTGCGACATAGAAAATGGCCCAGTCGAAATAGTGGATTTACCCAGCTAAGAAATGGTGGATCTTTCCATGGCTATGTAAACATTACCAGAGGCTAGTTGGTCCAATCCATCACTGCTTGGTGGTTGGCCTACCCCTGTGAAAACTGATGGAGTTCGTCAAATGGGATTATTGTTCCCAACTGTTTCTGGAAAGTCATAAAATTCCATGGTTCCAAACCACCAAGCAGATATGATATACCATTTATAATGGTGTAATAAATAAATCCCTATTAAATCCCAATAAATGTTGCTGGTGAATCACCATGTTACCAACCAGATATGTTTTATTCCTTTGTCCCCCCGTGTTACCTCGTTAAACAGCCGCTGTTGCTCGCCTGCCTCGATCTCCTGGGACGGTCCTATTTACAGAGGTGGGTCGCACAGCATGGTGCACCTTCCACCAGCGAAATGGGCTTTGCACATACTGAGCATGGGATAAAATTCAATGGATTGGTTGAAGGGAAAATCTACAGGAAACCATGGTTTTTACCC